ATTCCTGCAGGAGTAGGTCAAGCAGAAGGAAGAGAAACAAGGAGGACAAGTGTTCCAGATCATCCGCACAGCAAGTGCAAAGGCCCTGAGGCAGGAATGAGGAGCTTCCTGTTAAAAGAACAGGAAGGTGTTTGGTGAGAAGGTGAGGACCATGGACAAAAAGGCAGAATGCCCTGACCTTGCTTGGGGCAGCAAGGGGAGCCACAAGAGGCTTAGGGACCCAGATAGGCCCAGAAACAGGGAAACACGCGTGTGCACACATATGTACACACACACACACACACACGCTGCCCACTCCATCCAGCCCGGGAGCACCACTAAAGCTTCCTCCCATCCCTTTCACCCCAGCTTCTTCCCACCTCCAGTTCTCTCAGGCTCCTCAGCCCGGACATGGGAAGACAGCAGCCTGAGATCACACAGAATACCCATCCGCAGGTTTGGGGGCAGCGTCACAGAATGGAGTAGGGGCCACAGTCTGAGCACAGGGAGGTGACGGGAGGGACAGCAGGGTGCCACAGCCAGCCCCTCCCCAGCGCGGGCAGCCAGCCCCAGCTCCCCACCCATCTGGACCAGAACCAGCGCCAGGAGCATCCTGAACCCTGCCGTCTCCATAGGAACCAAGGCCTCTGCTGCCCGCCCACCACCCCCCTCAGGCCTTGGGGACGAGTGCTGTCCCTTGGCCTGCGGGGGCGGGAGAGTGGGCCACACACCACCCGGCCCCACTGTGTTCACTGGCACCCGTGTGCCTGCCCAAACGCACACACGCCCGGCGCCCAGTACACACGCCGGGCCTGCACACATGCGCGCTCGCCAGCGCTCACACCAGACCTGCAGCCCCCATGCGCCCTCGCGAGCAGGCCCAGCTGATGGGCACACATGCACGCACGTGCACACATTTGCTCACGCACACACAATTGGTGCCCGCAGCGCCCGGAGCCCTGAACCAGCCCGGCCAGCCAAGCGTGAGATGCCCGCCCCCAGGAAGGCCACCGAGGGAGGTGAGGGCTGGCAGCGGCTGAGTCAGCCCAGGGAGCGGAGTGGACGCGGCAGGGACCTCGTGGGTCCAGAGGGGGCTGCAGGGGACAGCAGGCAGCAGACCCAGCATCAGGTCGCAGTGGCTGGGACACGGCTACCGCCTTCTGGCCCGCAGGCACCCCCCCCCAAGCCGTGCCCTCCCCCAGCCCAGGTCCCCTTTGAAAGGAGAGCTCCTGTCCCGCCCCAGCCCCTCCTCACCTGGCCACCACCTCGTCATCCACCTTCACCAGGCAGTAGGGGTCGCTGCTTCCAGACCTGTGGGAGCGGGAGCGAGGGGCTGAGGCTCCTTCAGTGTTCAGTCGGGGCGGGCAGAGGCCCAGGAGGGCTGGGGCCTGGCCCAGGGTCACACAGCCGCAGGACTTCAGAGGACAGCAGCAGAGATGTCACCGCCACCCGGGGCCACCCACCCGCTCTGCGCCTCGCCCACCCCGCCCACGCCGCCTGTGCACTCTGGGTTTCCTCCACGGGAGGGGGAGCCTGAGGCAGGAGCCAGAGGCTGAGTCCTGGCCCAGAAAGCCCACAGCAGCAGTCGAGAGCATGTGCCGCCCCTAGCGGGGCAAGTCCCTTCCCCTCTCCCAGCCTCAGTTTCCCTGCTCTGACAGCCAGGCATAATATTAATGTGCACTTCCTAGGACCTATGGGGTGGAGGGGTGGGTCACGGGTAAACACTGCCCTCCCCAGGGTGGCCTTGCAGACACAGATCAGGGGATCTGGACCTCAAGACTGAGCCACTAAGGTGTGTTGCCTCTCCTTGGGCAGCCGTGAGTCCTGGGTCAACCAAAGCCTGCTCACTGACCCCCCTTCAAAATAGTAGTAACCAGCAAACTTCGAGCTGTCCAGCTGGCCTCTCATTCACACCTGAGTCCAAAAGTCATCTTCTCATAGGAGCCATCTGCTGACCTATCTAAAATAACCCTCCAACCTAGGCAAGTGGCATAGTCCCAGCTATGTGGTAGACTGAGGCAGGAGGGTCACTTGAGCCAAGGAGTTTGAGGCCAACCTGAGCACCATACCGAAAGCCTGTCTCAACAAATAAATGACTAAATAAGCAGAATCCAGAGCACCCCAAATCATCTTGCTGCCTATTTCTCTATGTGTTTCGTCCCTGTCTCCCGCCTCCCCACAACTTGCAAGCTGTGAGCTCCCGGGGGAGAGCTGACCCCCTCCCCCTCCCTGGCCTGGAGCTGTCCCCGCAGAGATCTTGCAGAATGAACAGATGGGCAGCAGAACCAGGATCCCCACCCAAGGCTGTGCAGCCGACCCCTGGGCTCATAGCCTCATAGCCGGTGCCACCTCACCCCCTCCAACAGCCTCTCCCTGCACCCCAGCTCTGCCTCTCTCGCTCTCCCTCACTGCACCCCCCAGCCCGTTACAGATCCACAGTTGTCCCAGGAATTCCAGGGAATGGGAATTTCAGGAAACAGCACAAAGCATTGGCCCCATCCCAAGCCTCAGTTTCCCTGTCTGGACACTTGTTGGTGGCAGTGCCCTGCGTCCCTCCTTGTGGGGTTCCTGTTCCTCAGTCTCCCCAACTGCCACCTTGGGTCCAGCTGGCTGGGGCCCCACCAGCACAGGCCTGACAGCTCTCCCCACTGCCCCGGCCTGACCCTGGCCCCTCCTGGGAGCCAAGCCCAGCACAACTCTGGGCTCTGACGCATGAGTGGCTTATCAAGCCCCATCAGGTATGGGCAATGGCGCGGGCAGAAGGAGCTGGCCTCTCCAAGACCCCATTTCTCCCTTGACACTTCTGGCCTCTCCCATGACCCTTCCCAGCCCAGCCAGGCATGGGAAAGTGGGTCCCTTGGCCAGCACCTTCCTGGACTGGCTTGTCCAGAGCAGCGGTCAGCACCCAAACCCTAGCTATGTGACCTTGGGCAAGTGACTGCCTCTCTGGTCCTCAGTTTACCCATTTGTAAAACAAGGATTCAAATAAGACCATAGGAAGTGTTAAGTACAGGACCTGACCATAGCCGGGCCGCCATGACCGACAGCAGCTACTGTCGGCAGTAGAAATAACTAAAGCCACAAGCAGAGGGCCGGTCACCCCTTAAACCTGGCCGGGCTTGGGCACACTCTGGCCTCTCCCTTAGGAGAAGGGGAGAGAACACATCCCGTGGATATCTCCACGGGCACCGAGATCCCAGCATATTCTGAGAAGAGCACTTCTGAAGATGGGAGCCAACAGCTAGGGAAACTGAGGCAGGGTGGCTGGACTGTCAGGTGGGGCATACTGAGCCTCCTCACCCTTGCTCGGGGCCGTGGCTCAGGAGCTGGAGGGGAAGGGGGCCAGGACACAGGAACCAGACGGGCAGCTGCCAGGCCCGGCCCTGACCTCAAGGCCACAGAGGGTCCATAATCTAATTCTCAGAGGCTGCAAGGTGACATCTCGGAAAGAGAGTGTCAGGGGCTTGTCCAGCCCTCTCTGCGTTGATGGCAGGTGAGTGTTTATTTGGGATAGCTGATGGGGGCTGAAATCACTGCAGCAGTCTCACCCACGCAGCTGCAGAGCTGAGAGGGGCCAGAGGCAGGAGACTCCCCAGTGGAGCCCCAACCTCCCCTGGGCATGTGTCCCAAACCCTGTTCCTACCCACCTGGCCACAGCAACTCCTAACAGCTCCCCACCCTCACAGCTGGATATGCAGGCCAGGTGCAGACCCTGCCCAAGCTCCCACTGCCCACATGGGAAGCAGAGGCTCAGGAGGAAGCAAGTTCAAGGTCCCCCAGCCAACAGCCTCCCAAGGATCCCACACCACCTCGGGTACTGACACCCTCAGCCCCTCCTGGGTTCCCGGCCAAGCAGGAAGAGACCCCCCTCCATTCTGCTGATTCAGCACTGCTGACTCAGCTCTGGAGAGGCAGAGCCAGGGACTGGGACTGAGGGAGCCCACGGGTCTCCGTGCCCCATCACTCCTGCCAGGTGTAGGGGCTGCAGGGGTAGCTGGCTCCTTAAGGGGCTTAGCACCCAGGAAAGCCCATCCCAGGCTAGCAGCTGCAACACCAGGATGCTCCCTGGGCTGGGTCTAAAGGACCCAGGGGTCCACCTGGTGACGCTCTGCAACCCTAAAATCATGCACGAAGTGTTGGGCCCCATCTGGATCCCCAGCCTTCTGGGGCGCCTCCCCAGGGTGCCCGTAAGAGCCCCCCACCCATACCTGGCCTGGAGAAGCCTCACCTGCAGCACCTGCCCGGACTGAGGAAGGGACCCCGCAGCCTCCCCAGCTCCGACAGGATCCAATCCTGAGGTGCCCTCTCTGGCTCTGGAGGACCCCAGGAAGGCATCCCCGAAACAAAGACACCCCTTCCCGGGTGGGGCGAGGCCCCAGCTGAGGTGGGCCCCCCCTCCCACCAGGACAGCCCCGGACGCCAGCCCGAGGCCAGGGAGGGCAGCGCTGCCCGGATGCCGTCGTGGGCCCGACCCCGGCGCTCCCCGCACCCCGCCGTACTCACACGTCCTTGGCGGGCAGCGCCCGGCCTTCCACCACGCGGATGTGCAGGGAGCTGCTCTTGGCCATGGTGCGCGGCCCAAACTTTCCGGGCAGGAGGCGTCCGGGTCCCGAGGCTGGACCCGGGGGCATCTACATGTCACCAGCTGCGAGCCTGGCGCCCTGCCCGAGGCTCCCGGCGCCACCTGTCCGAGACGAGGCGCGAGCAACCGGACTGACGGGAGGTTTGGGGAGGAGCGCAGGTCCCAGGGAGGGGGCGCCCGGGCTCCACAGGTAGGCGCGCTCCGAGCCGCCGGCGGGGCGCGGCGACACCGGGCTCCGGCCTCGGCGTCTGAGCTCGGGGAGGACCGACTGGGCGGGCAGGGGGCGGGAGGGGAGGCCCGGCGCCGTCCCCCCAATCCCGCCTCCTGCGGGGTCCCCCGCCCGCCTGCGCCCCGTGCGCGCCCCCTGCCGGCGCCCCAGGCTCTCGCACCATAGCTCCCGGTCCAAGGGGAGCCTGGGAGGGGCGGGGCAGGAGGGGTGCGCGGGAGGGGCGGGGCTTCGGCTCCGGAGACACCCCCGCCCCCACGTCTTCCCGGCCCCTCCGCGGCTTCGCGCCTCGCCGCTCTCCCGGCAGCCTCCGGGTCCCGCCTGCGCCGCCGCGCCCTGTCCCGGAGCAGCACCCGCGGTCGGTCGGGGAGGCGCCTCTCTCACGATCGCGCGTCCCCTGGGGTCCACTCACAGTCGATGGCGGAGCCCCAGCACCCGCTTCCACCGCCTCTGGGTACCCAGGGAACCCCGAGCGGCTGCGGAAGCTTCGCTGCGGCTCTGCAGGGAGGTGGCGGTGGCGCAGAGGGAGGGGAAGGCGAGGACCCGGGCGGCCGCGACCCTGGGGGCCGGCGCTGCTCCCCAGGAGCCCTGCGCGCTCTTGCGCTGTTGTCCCCTTCCGTGGATCGAGAAACAGAGGTTCAGAGAGGTCGAGTCACAGTTAGTGGCCGGTTGACTCCCTGGTCTGAGCGCCGGCCGTGCTCCTGACGGCTGTGTGGTCTGGGACAGAGCCCTTAACCTCTCTGTGCCTTTGCCTGGCTTCCTTGCGTGTGCGGTGGGGGTGGCCTGGTGGCTCTGGAAGGGTCTAGAATTGCAGGAGGGAATGCAGTGAGGTCCCCAGATGAGGTTTGGGAGACTGATCGGCCTGAATCTAAACCTCACCTGTCCGGGGGAGCCCCCGGGACGCCCGCTCCCCAGGCAGAGAATGCTCTCCTTTCCTTGCTCCCATAGCCCTAAGTGTGTGCATTTTTTTTCTCACGTTTTAAGTGAGATAAAGCGAGCAGGAGGGCCCGTGCCAGGGCCCCACTGCTACACATTTGCTTCTCCCGGCAGGGCTGGGGCCCAGCCTGACTCAGCAGGGTCGGTTCAGGGCTGGGCAGTGATCAGCTCAGTCAACGCCCTTACCAGCAAGACTGGCGCGTCCTGCCTGGCCACAGGAGTGACCTAATGACCTGCTTCCAAAACTCCCTCCTGGCTCCCCAGCCAGCACCCAGCCAGGCCCAGGGTACTCTGAGCCCTAGAATTCTCTCCTAGCTGCTCCCTGCCTCCCCCAGAGCCTGGGTGGGACTCAGTGGCCCCATCCAGGAAGTGGGCCTGGTAGATCAGGCTCAGAGGCTTAGAAGCATTGCCCAGGGGTGTTGGGGATGGTCCATGTCAGACCCAGGACAGTGACTGGCCTGATCTTTAGCAGCCCCCCCAAATCTTCCCAAAATATAGCCAGGCGTGGTGGCACACACATCTGTAATCTCAGCACTCAGGAGGCTGGAGCAAGAGGCTCACCAAGAGCTCAGGGCCAGCCTGAACTACATTAGGGACACGGTCTAAAAACAGAAAAGTTAAGGTCCAGTCCAGGAGGAAGCCAGACAGGGGCCCGTGTCACCCCTCCCGGTGAGAGCAGAAGCTTCCGGCTAAAGCGTTTCCCCCAGGAGGCTGCTAGGAACTCAGACAGGCACCCAGTCCCCCAGACCCCTGGGGACCTGAGGGGCCTGGCCCTGGGGCCGGTGGATGCCACCCAAACTGCCTGCCACCTGGCTATCTTCCAGAGCTAAGCAGGAAGTCCCCTCCCTGGCCCCCCGGGGGAATGGCCAGGCCACAGCTCCCAGCCAGGCCTCCAGGGAGCCAGCTCTCTCACCTGCCCCATATCTGAAGTCTGACCTCACAATTCGCCTGGGGCAGTGGCCACACTCCCTAAATTTTCCACATGGCCTGGCCACTTCCTGTTGTTATAGAAGCTTTGACTTGGAACTGGCAGTGGGTGGAGGTTTCCTAGTAGAGCCCCTGCCAAGGAACCCGAGAGGCTGCTGGGGGCCACCAGCCAGGAAGGGGAGGGGAGCTCATGGGTCCCCTGGGGGTTGTTATGACAACCAATCACGGGGCAGTGTGGGCACTTGGTGCTGTTCCTGGCACATAGTAGGTGCTCAAGAAAAGTCAGGCTCTGCCCCCTGAGCTCCTTAAAGGCAAACCCACCGTCATCTTCGTGGTTGCGAACATCTCGTGCCCCATAAAGCCTCAAGGAGGCTGTGCTGAGCTCAGGGTCTAAGAGCAGAGGCTTAGGTCAGGCTGGTCTGGGACTGACTCTGGACACAGTGTTCTCTGCCACATGATGTCACCTGTTGGGCCTCAGTGTCCTCATCTATAAACTGGGGCTCCTCATGGTCGTGGGGGACACGTGTGACTTGGAGAAAATAAACGGCAGATGTTTAGCAAGTACTCAGGAGGGTCTTGGCCATGGTGAGATAGCCTGATTCCACACTGCGGGGACCACCGGACACAGCCCCAGCTTCTGGGGATGGCTGGAGTGACCCACTTGGGCAGCCAGTGTGGTCCGGATTGCGGAACTGGGGGAATCTGGGGGTTTGGGCCCCAGCTGAGAATTCTAATGGAGATATCCCAAGGGCATGGTTTGAGCCGCCCTGGGCTCTCAATGCCAGAGACTGGCCAGGGCCTCCCTTTATCTGACAGGCTGAGCATGAGGCCCACAGGGACCAGAAAGGACTCCTCATCCTGAGGGGCCAGGCCTGGAATAAATGTTCTGAGGGGAGGGCTGAAATACAGTATAGACAGTGGTGTAGCAGCAATGCCGTGGATTATTAGATGGCTATCAAAAAGGACTGTCTGAAAGAATGTTTATTTATTTTGCAGAGCTAGGGATCAACCTCGTGCAGTGCCAGGCAAGCCCTCTGCCACTGAGCAACATCCCAGCCCTCAAAGAATACTTAATAGCAGGAAAACACTGAAAAACATAAGTGGTAGGGATAAAGCAGCATATTCAACCATATGTGCAATATGATCCTGATACCATAAAATAGAACGTGTGTGTCTATCTAACATGTTGATATTTAACAAATGTGGATTGAGCATCTGCTATGTCCTGGGCCGTGGGGACAGTTAGGTGACAGCTCAGCCTTATTCTCCTGGGGCTTTGAGTAGAGGAGGGGGAGAGACAAAAGGAACACACATGGAAACACTGCTCTCGGGAAGGAGGAAGCAATGTGCTGTGCTGACGATAAAGCAGGGATGCGTGCTGGGGGAACTGAGTGTTTTCTAAGACTCAATGCCAAGTGCTTTTTAAAAAATCAGAAAATAAACCCCAGTTAGGTGGGTTGTACTTGTCGTGCCAGCTACTCAGGAGGCTGAAGCAGGAGGCTTCCTTGAGCCTAGGAGTTCAGGGTCAGCCTGGGTGACATAGATCCTGCCCCATCACCACCACCAAAAAAAGAAAAGAAAATCAGAAAATAATGCACATGTCCTGAAAGAACCACCGCTCTGCGTTCCGGCTCCTCTCCCGGTCTCTGGCCAGCCCCGCAGGCAGGTGGGAAGGCAGTGGCCCCTGCTGCCCTGCCGTGCCCCTTCTCAGCGCTCGCTCGCTCGTGACCTTGGTCTCCTCTTCCAAGTTGCTCAGTGGTGACTGACATGCTCGTCTTATCTCCTAAATGTCAGGGACAATGTCTGATTCATGCAGGGCCTCCCACACCACTTGGCAGAAGACTCCAAACACACTCGCGGGTGGAATGGAATTCGGCTCCCCTCAGCCGGATCCCAGCCTCTTGCTGCGTTGCTTCCCCTGCCCCTCAGTGCCAGGGATGGGGGCTTATTCCTCGCCTACCCACCACCTGCCCTGTGCCCTGCAGCCCTACCCGGGAGGCAGAGCTGTCTGTCTGGAGCCCTCGGTTTCCCCTCCAGGGAAGGAAGTGACTGTCACTCCTGAGTCCAGGGCCGGGCCGAGGTGGACAGGTCCCTGGCTCAGGCTGCAGGTAAGGAACACAAAGCCCTGTTGTGATGGCTGGTGCGATTCTGGGCACGCAGCCACGTGAGACAGGAGACACGGGGGATGGGGGAGTGGCAGGATTTCCAAAGCTCCTTCCTGCAGCCGGCTGCCCAGGAAGCAGAGCTGGGAAGTCCCCTCCTTCCAGGGCGCAAAACCAAGGTGTCCTTTCTCCATGAGCAGCGGCTTCCTCCTTCCTCCATCAGGCTCCCCGAGTGCCCCCACCCGGCTCTGGAATGGAGAAGTGGGAAGGGGAGCTACCAAAGCGGAGGAGGGCAGTGTTTCCAGATCTCGTGGGGCAGTGGCTGAGGATGAGGCCAGAGAGGGAGGTGCTCCACTGAGCCCACCCAGGCAGTGGGGACAGAGCAGGCTGGGGCTGGGAGCCAGTTTGGCAGCATGGCAGGGACGCCTCGTTTAACGGAGCGGAAGGCCAAGGCCTGCTGGGGACAAGAGGGCTGTGTAGCCACTTTCTCTTTGGTCTGGAGGGAGCCCAGGGCCAGTGGAATTCTGTCTGTAGAGACAAACACCAAATGTTCAGCATTGCTGGCCACTAGAGAAATAAGTGCACATTGAAATAAGACTGAGGGCCAGGGATTTAGCTCAGTGGTTTCCACGCCTGCCTCACAAGGACAAGAACCCGAGATCAATCCCCGGTACCAAAAAAAGAAAGAACACTGATCTTCCTGAAGGAATTAAGAGCATCCTACCACAGAGATATATGCACACCCATGTTTACAGTGGCACAGTGTCTGTTATAGCTAAATTTAGGAAACAGCCCAAATGCCCATCAACCAACCAATGGATAAAGAGGATGTGGGTTTTTTATACAATGGAGTGCTGCTCTGCCATAAAGAAGAATGAGTTTGAGACACTTTTTGTTCTCCCCTGCCTCGGGACCTTTGCACATGCCACTTCCCTCACCCAGACCCCTGTTCCCCTGGACCCAGCCCTCTTCCCCTTCAGGTCTGAGCGCACGAGTCCCTGCCTTGGAGCCTCCCTGGCCCCTCTCTGCTTTCTGAACTCTCGTCCTCAAATCTGCAGGTCATCATCTGACCTCTCGCTGGCCTGTAAGCCCACGAGGCAGGCCTCCTCCTGTCTGCTGATGTGGCCTCAGCATCCACCACAGTGCCTGGCCTACAATAGGTGCTCAATAAAACTGCAAGAAGCACCTCTCAAAGAGTAGAAATCAAGTTGGGCGTGGTGGCACATACCTGGAATCCCAGCACTCAGGAGGCTGAGGCAGGAGGTTTGCCACAAGCTGGAGGCCAGCCTGGGCTATGTCGTAAGTTCAAGGTCAACCTGAACTAAATTTCGAGAGCCTGTCTCAAAAAACCAGAAGAAAAAAAAAAAAGTAGAAGTCAGGAAGGGAGGAGTGCAGTGCGTGCCAGCCTTCTCAGAGAGGGCAGGGAGGGGATGGGCCTGTGGAAGGGAAGACCCAAGAAAGCTCAGCTGTGTCTGGGGATTGTGGGTAAAAGGGTGATCTCTGAGCCAATGTTGTGGCCATGCCTGAAATTCCAGCACTTGGGAGCCTGAGGCAGGAGGATCACTGTAAATTCAAGGCCAGCAAGACCCTGTCTCAAAAAGGAAAGGGTGAACATTATGCCCAGATGGGCTGAGTTCAAGTCCCATTTTATACTTAATACTAAAAACACAATCTAAGGGCCAGGGCTGTAGCTCAGTGGTGCGGCACCTGCCTGGCAAGCACAAGGTCCTGAGTTTGATCCCTGGTACCGAAAAAAAAAAAAAACACCCCACAGTCTATACAAGGAAAACGTAGAAAAGTGGGCCTCATTAAAATTACATTTTTTGCTTTGAAGGAAATGCAAATCAGAACCATAATGAGAAATCCTCTCACCCTTGTCAGAATGGCTATGACTTGGGCCGGGGATTTAGCTCAGTGGTTCCGCTGCCTGCCTCACAAGTGCAAGGACCCAAGTTCGATCCCCATACCAAAAAAAAAAAAAAAAGTTGCAGAATGGCTGTGACCAAAAAGAAAATCACCAACCTGGTGAGGAGCAGAGGAAGGGGACTTGTACACTCCCTGTGGGGATGTAAATTAGGGCAGCTGGTATGCAAAACAGTCTGAGGGGTCCTCAAAAAACAAAACAAAAATATAGAATGACATCCAAAGAAAGGGAAACCAGTGTGTCCAAGGGACATCTGCACTCTGTGTTTATTCAGTTCTGTTCACAGTAACCACAGTATGGAATCAGCCTAAGCATCCATCCATAGGTGACTGTATGAAGAAAATGTAGTGTTGATGCACGGTGGAGTATTATACAGCCATAAAAAGAACAAAGTCCTGCCCTATGTAGCAACATAGGTAAGCTTAAGTAAAAAAGCCAGGCAAAGAGAGACAGATACTGTGGCCTCACTCATGTTTGGAGGCTAAAAAAGTTGATCCCATAGAGCTAAGTACAGTGGTCACTGGAGCAGAAAAAAAGGCAGAGGGAGAGAAGAAAGGATGGACAGGGATTGGTCAATTGGTCAAAGTTTCAGTCAGGTAGGAGGAGTAAGTCCTGCCACTCTGGTGCATGGGAGGGTGAATGTAGTGAACAGTAATGTTTTGGGGAGCCAGGTGTGATGGCACACGCCTGTAATCTTGCTCAGCACTTGGGCGGCTGAGGCAGGAGGCTCACTAGGAGTTTGAGGACAGCCTAGCCTGAACTACATGGAGAGGTTCTGTCTCAAAAATAATAATAATAATAATAATGAGAATGCATTGCATATTTCAAATTAGCCAGAAGAGAGGACTTTGAATATTTCCACCTCAAAGAAATAGTAAATATGGGCTGGGGAGTAAATCAATGCCACAGGGCTTGTCTAGGATGTGCAAGGCCCTGAGTTCCTTCCCTAGTACCAAAAATAAAGGAGAAGTGGGGGCGGGGGGAGAAGAAAATAGAGAAAGAGGAAGAAAGCAAGGTAAAAATATATAAAAATAGAAACAATAAATGTTTGCAGTGATAGACAAGCTAGTCACCCCAATGTGACCATTGTACATTGCATATATGTTAAGGTAGCACATCCTATCCCACAAAAAAAAGATAGAATCATTGTGTCTCAATTGAAAAGGCAAGCTTTTAAAATGTGGTGTATTTTTGTAAAAATGAGAACAGAATGAAAAGACAAGGGAGAGAATTATGTAAAGAAGTCTCAGCGCTCAACACTGGAGGGAAATCCAGCCAGAACAGGCAGGTGCCGGGGAGAGGCAGAAGGGAGGGGACTGCTGGAGAAGGTGGTGGAGACCCGAGCAAACAGACGGCAACATCTGTCAGTAGAGAGCTGCAGACTCCAGCCACGGGAGCTGTTGCTACCCTAAGGACAACAGGTACACACAACTGAAGAAGACAGAGCAATAGAGGCTGTCATCCCTCACCGAAAGGCTTGGCACCGGAAGTGTCCGGATGTCGGTTTGTAGGGTTGTGAAATATACCCATAACCCTTACTGGTTGAACATCCTGAGTCTGAATATCTGAAGTCTGAGAGGCCCTGAAATCTTTTCTGGAGCATTTTGGATTCCAAATTTTTGGATTAAGGATGCTGGACCACTCAGCTATTACTGGTGAGAATGGTAAATGATGCGGCCACTCTGGAAAGGAAGAAGGTCAATTCCTGAAGAACTGAGCATGCAGACAGGCATGGTGGTGCACACCTGTAATCTCAGCACTCAGGAGGCTGAAACAGGAGGATCACCATGCATTGGAGGCCAGCCTGGACTACATAGTGAGTTCAAAGCTACCTGAACTCCATAGCAAGACTGAAAAGGGGCTGGGAATGTAGCTCAGTGTGAAGGCACTGGGTTCAATTCCCAATACCACAAAAATGAAACAGAACAACCTAAAATACACCATGCTCTCGGTCTAGGACTTAGCAATCAAACCCAATTCAACATGTGACTCTTCCTAGCAGCTTTATCCTTAATAGTCAAACCCCGGAAACAACCCAGATATCCCTAACCCTAAACAATTAAAGACAGTATGGTACATCCATACCATGAGTGCTACTCAACAACCGAAAGGGACAAATCCCTGATACCCAAGTTTAACAAGAATGGAACCCAGGAGCGTGAAAACAAAATCTCACGGGATTATATACTATACAATCCTATCTGTATAACACTCTTCTTTTATTTATTTTTTTTTTGAGACAGGGCCTCACTATGTAGTTCAGGCTGACCTTGAACTCACTGTGTAGCCCAGGTTGTCCTCAAACTCACCAAGATCCTCCTGCCTCAACCTCCCAAGTGCTAGGATTACAGGTGTGTGCCACCACACCCAGCATTATATAATTCACTAGATAAGACAACACTGTACAGATGTGGAACAGATGAATGGTTGCCAGGGGCTAGGGAGAGGAGAGGTCCAGAGGTGAGAATGGATGTAAAAGATGCAAAATAGGCCGGAGGATCCCCAGTACCAAAAAAAAAAGATGCAAAATAAAAATCACAGGAGGTCATTGCTTTGAACAAAGCTCCTGCAGGCTAAAAATCAAAATGGAGTCCCTCGTGCCAAGCTGAAATTAGGCTGTTTATCTGACATTAGCAGAAATTAGGATTAGAGAGATAACAGCCAAATTTCCCAAACAGGCCTACTTCAAGGTGCATTGTGATAAAGTCCCCTCTGCTTGGAGCCTTACTCAGAAGTAATAACCCTGAAATAACCTGGTATCAGTGATTTTCCTGTCATCCTCTCTGCCTTACAAGGAAAGTAATTTAGATACAACCAAGCTGTTTTCTTTGGCTGTTTGTTTCTGCTTTCTTCAAGCTCTCTTTGTCTATAAAGCTAATCTTTCCTCCTCTAAATTGTGTCTGTGGGCATTTCATCCCAGAAATGAGACAGTGACTACTACCCAGGCTCTTGCCATGTTTCCCAGGCTGATCTCAAACTCCTGGGCTCACGTGATCCTCCTGCCTCATCCTCCTTAAAGTAGGTGGGACTGCAAGTGTGTAAGCACTGAGTTCAGTTCCCAGCATCTCCCTCCTCCAAAATATCCTTAAACTGAACTGCTGTAATGCAGACCTTTGACAGATCAGAACAGGAAGTGTCCTGAAGATAAAATATTCTGCATCTTGGCTGTGGTGGTCACACGAATCTGCACAGGATAAAATGGCACAGAACCAAACACACATATGTACCTGGAACACACATGAAGCCGCTGAAATCTGACCAGGCCCGGGGTTGAATCCAGGCCAACATTCTAATAGTGCAAGATGCTACCATCAGAGGACATTGGGTGGAAAATATATAGGACTCCTCCACATTATTTCTTCAACAGCACATGAAGCTACAGTTGCAAAAATAAGAGTAATCTGTAATCCCAGGTACTCAGGAGGCTGAGGCAGAAGGATTGCAAGTTCGAGCCCAGGCTAGGCAACTTTACAAAACCCTGTCTCAAAATAAAATTAGCAGGGGCTGAGGATTTAGCTCAGTGGCAGCATGCCTGCCTCACAAGCACAAGGTCCTGAGTCCGATCCCCAGTACAAGAAAAAAGTAATAAATTAAATTAAATTAACAGGGGCTGGAGATTTAGCTCAGTGGCACCATGTCTGCCTCACAAGCACAAGGTCCTGAGTTTTATCTCCCATACCAAGAACAAAGAAAAAAGAAAAAAAATTAATAGTACTGTTGATGTAGCTCAGTGTTCCCTAGGTTCAATCCTTACTTCAGTACTACAAAAAAAAAAAAAAAAAAAAGGAAAATACAGCTGCTTTAAAAACCCATTTGCAGTTTTTTATGGAGTTAAATATACACTTGTCATATGATCCAGCTATTCTACTCCTGAATATTTACACAAGTGACATGAAAACTTATGTTCACACAACAACCTGGACGTGGAGACAGGCTGTATTTGCTTTTGCCCAGAACTGGAAGTGACCCAGCTGCTCCTCATGTGGGAATGTTATTAACAAACCGTTGGATACAGGATCCGTGATATAAATACTACTCAGCAATGAAAAAGAATGAACAAACTACTGATACACATAGCAACTTGGCAAGCCGGGAATGAAGACTGCTGAAGGAAAGAGGACAGACTCCATGGGCTACAAAGCATATAATCCCGCCTGCGACCTTCTGGAAGAGGGAAGAGTATGAAGGGTGGAAAGCAGGCTTGTTATTACCAGGCTGGATGAAAGTGTCAGCAGTAGTTACCAAGGGGCACAGGACCCGTAGATTCGATGGAGATGTTGTCTGTCTTGATTGTAGTGATGATCGCACAATTCTGTGCACGGTCCACAGTTCATAGACCTACATGTGGAAAAGTGAATTTCCTTTAGATGTAAAGTATATCTTCATTTTTTTTTTTTTTTTGGTATCAGGGATCGAACTCAGGACCTTCTGCTTTCGAGGCAGGCGGCGGAACCACTGAGCTAAATCCCCGGCTATATCTTCATTTTTTAAATTAAGAAAAATGAGATCATAGGTCTTACTGTAACTTCACATCAATTTATGCAGAGATAATATGTGTGATTTAATGCAAAATGTCCAAAGGTAAAAAGTACATTATTTTAGTTTTCTTTTTTAAAATATCCCCTAGCAGCCGGTGTGGGGTTGCATGGCTATGATCCCAGCACTCGGGAGGCTGAGGCAGGAGGATCACAAGTTCAAGGCCAGTCTGGGCTACATAGTGAGTGCAAGGCCAGCCTGACACACACGAGACTCTACACACTTATATATGAGACTCTGTCTCAAACAAACACAAAGAAATTATATCTATATCTATATATATCCTCTAACAAATTTCTTAGGAGTTGTTTTGAGTGATGTAGGAGTTACAAGTAACTAGATTTTTAAAATAACGTTATTCCAGCAAGAAATGCATTTCTCTAAATGGAAAAATAAAAACCATCTATAGCAAAAACGACCAGATGTTACTGTTTGTTTCCTCCACTTGAGGACCCACAGGTACTTTTAACACTGAGCTTTTCCCTAGCACCCCTGCAAGGCTGTCTTGCGTTAAATTAGATGCTAAATGTAGAGTGCTGGCGTCGCCGGTGACCCTCAGTAACAGCTGACCTGGGACATCTGCTGGCGCCCCCATCCTTCAAGTCCAGACCACCGGTATCTTCCAAGCCGGTGTCCACCAGGGGGGCGCTGATGCTCCTCGCTCTTTCCCAAGCCAAGCTGGGGTCTCTGTGGAGCGGCCAGGACCCTGAATGGGCTGGAGCCGAATAGGTTCTGGCCACCTTTTCCTGCGGTGAATGACAGCTCGCAGCCTAGCAAACAGCAGGTGCCCAATGAGTATCCTTCTTTTCTTTTCAGTGCTGGCCATTGAACCCCGGGCCTTGCACATGCTAGGCAAGGGCTCTACCCTGAGCTACATCACAGCCCTAAGAAATAACCTTTCCCGTGGTGGTCGAGCACACAGACACATTATGAGGCCCGACCCCACCCAGCCGGGAAAGGACTTGGTCCCGCGTGGGCACCAGGAGAGGCAAGTCCTGGGCCTGGGACCCCTGCCCTCTCTTCCACATCCAGACTTAGATCGGGCTGGTCCCTCTGTCCCTGCACTTCCTCCCTCCTCCTCCAAGGGTGGATTCTCCACCCTGCAGCCTGGTGAGGGAATGTTGTGGCGTGTTGGTTGCCCAGGCAACCGGGGCTGCTGGGCCACTGCCTTCTGGGAGTCAGAGCAGGCGGCTGCATCCTGGGCCTGTAGAGTCCCCCGGAACTCCCGTTTTTGCAGAGCCGCAGCCTGGGGCAACTTCAGGGCCATGGCGGTGCCCTGGGAGGAATATTTCCAATTGGCCTGGCAAGAGAAACTGCCGTGCGTGGGGCAGGGAGGGAGGAAAGGAGCGGGAGTGGGTGGGATGGCCAGGCCCTTCTCCCCGCACTGTTCAGAGCCAGGGAGGGAGGAAGTGAGGTTCTCAGGAAACAGTGACTTCCGCGAGGTCTCAGGGCTGGTTAGGGCGAGAGCCCAGCCCGGCTGGCATCGACCAGGATGGAGTCCTTGGAGCGCCTGTGAGCTGCCCCCCCCTGCACTAAGAGGGATCCGAGTTCTGCTCAGTCCACATCTGTGGGATGGGGTTTCCCACTCCCAGAGCTGAGCACGGACTCCCTTCCACTCCCCTTCATCCCTGGGGAGTGGGCCTCTCCCTGCCCAGGTCAACAGGTGGTGAGGGCTCAGCTTGGCCACCTGAGCTGGTGTCCCCGGCCCACCTGCACATGTCACACTCATGATCACCACCCCATGATCTCCTCTGCCTGCAGGGCTGCCTCTGCTCAGAAGCCTCCCATGGCTCCCACCGGCCTCAGGTCAAGGCCACAGCCTGCTGAGATCTGACTCTCGGGCATCTCTGCTCCCAGCTCTGTGCTCCCCTCCTCGTTCTCCCCGCGCAGATACCCGGCCTCCACTGCCCCTCTGAGGCACCCAGTCCCTCCCTGAGGGCCTTGCATTGGCTGCCCCCTGGCCTGGACTCTGGGCCCTGCACATAAGCAGACGGCTTGCTCCATCTTCCCTTCCAACCCGTCTCTGTTCCGTCTCACCTCAGAGAGGCTTCCCGACTCCTGTAGTTCTCTTAATTTTTCATCTTAGCACCCAGCGTGCCCTGGCCTTACATATCATGACCACCATCATGACCACCATCATCACCATCGTCATCATCTTCATCATCGTTTTGGCTTTTTGAGATAGGGTCTTGCTATACAGCCCAGGTTGGCCTCAAAATCTCCGCGATCCTCCTGCCTCAGCCTCCTGAGTGCTGGGATCACAGGTGTGCATCACAATGCCCAACTCTGTATTATTTACCAGCAGAATGGCAGCTCCTTCAGGGCAGGGATTTTGCTGCCTCCTTTACAGCTGCAGCCCCACACCTGGAACTGCACCTTTAAGGTGCCACATACATTTGTTGAACGGCAAGGAATTCCCCAGCCAGCAGTGGGTATGGGGTGCTCCAGGCACCAGCGGGGAGCCCTGGGTCCATGATTCCTGCATCCTCCACCTTCACCTTCGTCTTAAACCCCTCTAGGAAGATGCAGGAGCAGAGCGTGGACCGCTTCCCACCGGTGCTGCGGCTCCTGGAGAAGAGGCAGGAGCTGGCCGATGTGGACCGGGGTCTGCAGGCCCAGAAGGAGGTGAGCCTCCACCGCCAGACCTGTCGCATGGGATTGAGACCAGTCCTTGGTGCAAATGACTTTGTGTGCACTGAGCACCTACTATGTGCTGGGTGCTGCAGGTCTCACCATGGTCCCTGCCCGTGTGGGGCTCCCAGTCTAGAGCAGCAAACAGCCAAGCATCCGGGTGGTGATTGCTAGGAGGGGAACACTGGGCAGGGGCGGTGGGAGCCCAGGAAAAGCCCTGTCCCAGAATGGGGGTGGTCTAGGAGGACTTCCTGGAGGAAGTGGGGTCTTGGGGACTGCAGAAGAATAAGCCAGCTGATCCAGCAAAGGAAGGGGGGATGGGGAGGAAGAAGCCGGCAGAGGGGACATCGTAGACAAGGACCGGAAGGCCAGGATGAAGCACAGGGGGCCAGGTGGCTGGGAGGCAGAGTGGAGGAGAGAGGGCGAGAGGAGGCTGGAGGAAGCCAGGTGAGGATCCTGTCAGCCCAGCACTCTGGGAGGCTGAGGCAGGAGGACTACAAGTTCGAGCCCAGCCTGGGCAATTTAGTGATTTAGCAAGATTCTATCTCAAAATTTAAAAAGGAAAGGGCTGGGGATGTAGCTCAGGGCAAGGACCCTGGGTTTCATCCCCAGCAGGAGGGTGTTGGGTTTCCTCCTGGGGCCGTGGGAGCCTTGGGTGGACTTGGGCCGCCGAGTATCCACGGGATCCGGAGCAGTGGGCAGGAGGGATTCAGGGCAACCAGGAAGCACTGGGCAACTTTGGGCGCTCAGGCTCGCGCAGGCACCCCGCTCCGCACCCCCAGGAGTTCCACACCACCATGGCGGCCCTGCAGCACCGCTGGGCACAGCTGGAGCAGAAGCAGCAGGAGCTGAAGGGGTCCTTGGTCCGCTTCGACCAGTTCCTGCAGGTGCTGGAGACCGCGGGGCGGGACCCGGGATTCGGGACTCGGGCTTAGCGGTTCCGAGGGGTTGGCGGGAGCGCCCCGGCTCGGCCGGCCGGACTCTCAGATCCTGGCTTCGTGGGGCCTGCGGGCTCGAGTTTAGAGCGTAGGGCTCCTTGGCCCCGAGTCCAGGCCCCTCCTGCGCGTCCCCGTCCCCAGGACGCCGAGGCCCGGCGCGGCCTCGCGCTGCGGAGGGAAGCGGAGGAGCGGGAGCGCGCAGACCGGCGGGAGGCCGAGGCCCTGCGGCTGCGTGCCCAGCTGGAGGACCTGGAGCGGGAGCGCGCGCGGCTGCAGCGCAGGCTGGGGCGCCTGGAGCCCTGTGCGCGCCTGCTGGAGCGCGCGCGGGAGCAGCTGCCTGAGGTGAGCTGCCCTCGCGGCTGTGCCTCTGGGACGGCTTTGGTTGGGCACACTAATGGAGTGCTGACTGTATGCAAGACCGTCAATTACTGAGTGCTTACTGCATGCCAGGAACACGCGATTTTTAATTTTTTCTTCCGATGCTGGGGATAGAACCCAGGGCCTCGCGCACGCTAGACAAGCGCTCCACCGCTGAGCTCCACTCCTAGCCCTTTTTAGTTTATTCTGCCACAGGATCTCAATAAATTGCCCGGGCTAAGATTGAATTTATGATCCTCCTGCCTCGGCTTCTTGAGTAGCTGGGATACAGGCGATGGCCACTGCGTCTGCCATGCTGTCCTTGAATCTTAGCGTAGAGAAGTGGGTCCTGCTATTGTCAGTCCCATTTTACAGAGCAAACAGAGGTTTCAGAAAGCTGACTCTCAGTCAGGGGCAGGCTATTGAGCAAGCGTGTGTGGGCCTAAGGGAGCCAGACAATCAATAAATATTATGACCCCTGCACTCTGGGAGGCTGAGGCAGGAAGATTTCAAGTTCTAGTCCAGCCTGGGCAGATTAGCAAGAACCTGTCTCAAAAGGGGAGGGGGGTCACTCCTGTAATCTCAGCACTAGGGAGGCTAGGGAAGCAGGATTGCAGCGAGTTCGATGCCAGCCTGGGCTACACAGTGAGTTCAAGGCCACCTGAACTACATATTGGAACCCTGACACAATAAATACATGCATAAATAAAGGGGGCGGGGCTGGAGATGTAGTTCGGTGCAAAGGGGTTCGCCCCCCAGTACCAATCAATATTCTGAACTGAATGAACACGTGGATTAATATTAATCACCGGCAGTGATTAAGCTGCGCTGAGTGGCGCTGGGGGCGGGTGAGACCAGGCCTCCCCGCTCACGGCCCCTGCTGTCCCCGCTTCTCGCTCTGCGCGATGCGGCGCCCCCTTTCACAGGGGGAATGGGAGGCGGGCGGCTGCGGCCCACGCGAGTCCCCTCTGCGCCCGGCCCAGTTCCAGGAGGTCCCCGAGCTGGTGGCGCGCTTCGAGGGCCTGGCGGACACGCAGGCGGCGCTGCAGCGGGCGGAGCGCGGGCGGCGGGCGGAGCTGGAGGCGTCGCGCTCGGGGCTGCAGCGGCTGCGCGACGCGGGGCAGGACGAGCTGCTGGCGCTGAGCCGGCGGCGCGCGGAGCTGCAGGAGAAGCTGGAGGCGGCGCGGGAGCGCAGGCTGCAGTGGGTATGGCCCGGTGGGTCCGGGGAGCGCAGGCGCGAGAGGCTCGGGCGCTAGGGAGCCGGGCACTGGGCGCCTGTGAGCTGCACGGGCAGCGCCTGGGCCCCGGTCCCCGAGGGCGCCTCTGCGCACCTGGTGGACAGGTGATCGGCGCGGGCGGCTACTCTTCCCCAGGAATCCAAGTGGATTCGGATCCAGAGCACCGCCGCCGAGAAGACCCTGCTCCTGGGCCGCACCAGGATGTCGGCGCTCAACCTGTCCCAGTTAGCCTGCCAGCACCGGAGGCAGCCTCGTACCCTGGCCGTGGAGGACACCGAGGGGCAGCTGGAGCAGGTGAGGCCCCTCCTCAGGTCCCCCCGCCCCACACATCCCTCTCTGGAAACATCGAGGTGCCTGAAAATCCCGCCACTAGCAACACCTTCTGTGGCTGAGCGTGGCCAGGCCCTGGGCCCAGATGTGGCCATTTCAGCCAGGCGTCTGGGCAGCCTGTCTGTCCTCTTGGCTCTCCCAGTCATTTGCTGCATGGCCAGAAGGAAGCTATGCCTCCCTGGAGCCAGGCGTGGTGGCACACGTGTGTGATCCTAGCACTCTGGGAGGCTGAGGCAGGAGGATTGCAAGTTTGAGCCCTAGCTTGGGCAACTTAGCAACTTAGTGAACCCCGGTCTCGAAAGAAAATAAGAAGGGTAGCCGGGCGCGGCGGTGCACACCTGTGATCCCAGCACTCAGGAGACAGGCAGGAGGGTCACTGAGAGTTAGAGGGCGACTGGGGCTACCTGGCTCCCCTGGGGAGGGTGAGCATGGGTTTGGCTTCGTTTGTGCAGTGATGGCACCTGATGTCCCTGTGGCCCAAGCACACCGTGGAGGGGCCAGGCCACAGGGAGGGCGGGCTGCACACTCCACGCTCTTCTCGAGTTGTTTCCTGTGAGTGCCAAAGAGGAGGGAAAGGGAGGGAGGTCGCCTGAAGCACCCACCCTATCTCCCGCCTAGGCAGCCTGTGAGCCACTTCCTGCTTAGTCCCAAGTGTGGCCCAGGTCCCCCATGGGACACTTGCCAGCTCTAGGAAGGACGCAGGCTCACGTGAGCAGGGCGGTCAGTCCCTTCTCCATTGGCCCTTGATCCTATCAAGGAGGAGGCTCAGTGGGGGTCTGTGCCTTTACCCCATCCCAGACTCCTGCCTCCAGGCCTGGGCTCCCTGTCCTGTCCCAACAGCAGTCACCCAGCCTTGCTGTCATTGGGTTATCACTTGTCCAGTGACTTCCACTGTGTCAGGGGTAACCATTGTTCTTTGTCCATCTTCTGTGCAGATAGCTTCCTTCTCTGACTTCAGTGACACAGGTGAAGGGGCGCCCCCAGGTGGCTGCGAGTTTGCCATCAAGGTGTAGTTCCCGGCACTGCATCTATGGGCCTTCACTGAGTCCGTAACAGTAGCAAATGTTAATTGCCCTGGGTGCAGTGGCCCACACCTGTAATTCAGCTATTCAGGAGGCTGAGTTCAAGTTCAAGGACAGCCTGGGTAGCTTCATGACTGAGGGAGACTGTCTCAAAATATTTTCTTTAAAGGGCTGGAGATGTAGCTCAGTGGGAAGGCTCTGGGTTCAATCCCGTTAATTAAAAGGGAGACAATGCTGACTTACATTGGGGACATCCCTGTCTGGGAACCATGTGAAACCACTGCCACTCCCCTAATGGGGTCCCCCAGCCCCACCCCTGCTTTGCAGCCTGCAGGGTGTCGGGGGCCAGGCTGTGACATGGCTGTCGGGTCTACAGGTGAAGCTGTTCATCCTGGACCTCTCTGCCACACTGGCCAGCCTTCGCCAGGCTGAGCCCAGGGCCGCCGCCTCCTAGCTGGCCTGGGTGAGCAGCAGGGGACCTCGAGCTTCCAGTGGGGTACAGGTCATGGCCAACCTGGACGTTTTCTCATCAGGAAGACGCGAGGTGCCTGCCCATGCTGCTGTGGGGCTTGCGGAGGGGCACAGGGGAGGCACAGAATAAATGCAGGTCCCGGCAGTGGGGAGGAGGGGCTGCATGTCCCACACCTCATCCACTGTGACTGGGGACCAAGCCAGGGGTGGATCCCCACGCGGGGCTCGGGGACACGAGACAGGGGTGGATAACCACTTGGCTCGGGGATGGGCCCACCCCACCCTGACCTCAGAACCCAAAGCAGGACATAGGCCACAAGGTCCCCAGCAGGGCCTACCCTCTGGGGACCCAGGGAGGGGGGAGAATGGCCCAAATATGCTTCTGGTCCACCAGAGATGCTCAATAAAAGTTTATTTCTTTAAAAACCTGTCACTGAACCTGAGGCACTCAGCTCAGACCACATGGCCAAGACCTGTGAACCCTGAACACAGGGAAGCAGCAGCACTGAGTTGCCAACTCAGGGCTTGGCCTGCTTGACTTCGCTGGCAAACTCCTACATATCCTTCAAGACCCTGCTCAAATGTCTCTGTCTTGGGAGAGGGAGCTGCTGCACTCATTTTCAGGAGGCAGGAGGCTCCCCAGTAGTGCATGGGGAAATGACCGCTGATGTCCAAGCAGGGCCAGGAGAGGAGCCGTGGGCCACCCCTGGGTCTTCACATCCTCTTTCTCATCTTGCCCTTCCTAGAGGGGGCTCCCCGGCCGAAGGCACCCAGCCGCAGTTCCTGGGCCCGGCGGCGGTTGCGAGCCGACAGCTGCTTGAGGCCGCCGCGCTGCAGGAAGCGCAGCTTCTGGGCCCGGCGCCGCTGCTTCAGGATCTGTTGCTTGGTCTTGAGCTCAGAGCGAACGCGGCCTGTGGGGGTGCTGGGGGCACGGGGCTGGGATGCACCTGGCGGGCACAGATGCGGGGGCTCCGCTTAGGGTCGGTGGGGTGGCCTCCAAGTGTCTCCCTCCCCGCACCCCCAACACCCGCCCCTGCTTCTACCCTCGGCTTGCTGCTGCGGCCCCAGTGCCAGGTACACAGCAGATGCTTAATAAAGACAGAAGAGAAAGGAAAAGCAAGAGGAAGGCAGACAGCCAGGCAGAGGTGGGGGCAGAGGAGATACAGTGAGAGAAGCCAGGTTGGCGGCCAAGTGCAGGCAGCAGAGAGGGTGCCTCATGGACGGGGCCGGGGGCCCAGGCTAAAGGATGCAGCTCAGACATGGACAGGAGGTGGTGACCACCCACGGAGTGGGGGTTGATGAGCAGGGTCCAGAGAGCCTGGAACACGGCCCCAAGTCCCCCTCTCCCCAGGGGAGATGGCAGGCAGTTGGGTGCCTGGGGCTCAGTCCCTACCCCGGGAGCTGACTCTCTCCCCTCCTGCAGTATGGGCATTCGCAGTCTTCTAGCCCCCAGGCCATGTGTGGCATGTCAGGGCAGAGCCTGCCCCACCCTGCAGGTGGCAGCCCCTACCAGAGGCTGGGGTGGGTGGGGCTGAAGGGAGCTGGGCTGCAGGCAGCCCCCCCCCCCACGGCAGGGCCAGGGTGGTCCCTGAGTGACCCCGGCAGACAGGGTGGCTCCCAACCCCGCCTTAGCACACTTGGCACCTTTGGCAGAGGGACCCAGGCCAAGCCCCAGGAGACCACGTGGTCCACCTGCCAGACCACGCTGGAGGCTGCCCTTCCCCAGCCTCCCAGGGGTCACCTCCTCCTGACCTGCTGCCTAGGTTTGTGCAAAATGCACTTCCCTGCAGCGTCACTACGAAGGGCACCAGCCCAGGCACAGCAGGGGGACCTTCTCAGCCTGCTCCCCACTCCTCGGCAGGCCAGGCTGAACCTCAGGTGCCGGCAGAGGCAGCCCAAGGGCAGCACCTGTATGGCTGGGTGGACTGCGACCCACCATGACACACCACTCATTACCACCGCTGCCGGTCCGGTCAAGGTCACTGAAGGACAGGGTGGGGTCGGCAGAGGAGGAGGGTGGGATGGGGCTCTGGCCACGCCCACTCACTAGACCAGCTCCAGGGCTGTGTGCAGCCTTGCACTTCTGCGGGCCTCAGTTTCCCCTGGCTGTACCAGCTCACCCTGCCCACTCCCACACACCCCCTCCCTCGCTCTCACCTTGGCCACGCCCTCGCTTCCCACCTCTCCGCGGAGGGCCTCCACGGTCAGATGGTCCTTCCTCCTCTGAGTCTCGACCATCGATTTTCTGTTTCTGCTTCCACTTCTGGTAGCTGGGAAGCCCGTTAAGGAAGGCCACGCGCTCCCCTGGCCTGGGGGCAGGCCCTGCCCTACTGAGGCCCCACCCACCCAGCAGCCAGACCTTTACAGAAGCCCCCAGGCCCCGGCCCCAGCAAGCGCAGGCTCCCCATAGGTGCAGCTGTGGAGAAAGCTGCGCAGCCCCATCCCTCCAGGCCCCGCCCCCGGATACAGGTCACGCCTGTAGGAGCTGCTGATGTAGCGGCCACTCTCAGTCTTGATCTTCTTTTTGTCATCCTGTCCCGCCTGTCCCACAAACCGCTTCTTCTTCCGGTCCCTGCGGGAGAGGGAGTTGGGGACAGTGGCCCGATTCCTCGCCTGAGCCTTGCATGGGGCTGCTGTCGTGCGTGATGCAACCAAGGGGCAGGGTCACCTGGCTGCACAGGGGCCAGGCAGACTGCAGAGCTGGGCATCACTCACCACTTGAGCTGCTGCTGGCCTCGGGTCAGGTTCTGTGACTCGTCCCCCATCAGGTCCAGGACTGCACCGGCCACCTGCTGCTCGAAGGCCCCCGCGGCACTCCCGACGCTCAGGCTACAGGCGGAGGCCGGGAGATTCAACAGGTTGATGGCCCAGCAGCCCTGGCCACCCTGGGCCCCTCCAGGACCCATGGCAGTGGCCACTCACCCCCGTTCGCTGTCGAAGTCCTTGGGCCGGTAGGGGATGTAGAACTCCTGGTCCCGCTGCCGGGCCTCCTCCCTCCGCCTCTTGGCTCCTCCATCAGGGCCTGGCCTCGGCCGCTTCTGGCCCACAACTTCAGTGAAGACGTCCTGGCAGGGGGAGGCCAGGGTCATGCCTGCAGCCCGGGGGAGCCCGCCTACCACCCACACCCACGTCCAGCCAGAGCTGAGGGGCTGGGGTTCTGGGCAACCATATGTAAGAGCCTAGCTTTCCTGCTTGTGGGCTGGGTGAGGCTCCTGAGCGACCTAGCGTCACAGTGTCCCTGTCTCTATGAGACCAGAGGTGGCTGTCAGCTGCTGCGAGACCCTGGCAGGGTCTCAGCTCGGCAAGGCCCCCACCCCAGGCCTGTGCACGCCCAGGTTTTCAGTTCTGCTTTCTGGACCGACCCCTCTGTCCAAACGAGATGAGAGCCAACAGGGGAGGTGCAGGCCAGGCACCTGCCTGCCTGCCGAGTCACTCTGGGGCCTCCAGCCCTGCTGCAGAAACCAGTGCTTGGCACTGCCATGGCACACTGGCTGCCAAAGACACTGCTGGGCACCACAGGGCTCCCACACACTGGCACCAACCAGCAGGGCCGGCCTGGGGACAGGAACCACAGCCACACTGGGAGGGGAAGCCACCCAGCCTGTCCGGACCCTGAGCGTCGCTGCAGGGCCCTGATGTGAGCCATCCCAGACCCCAGTGAGTGCCACCTTCACAGCGCCCGCGGGATGCAGCCCACCCGGCCCAGTCCAGACCCTGGGGCCTGCACCTCCATGCTCTCGGCGGCGTCCTCTTCCTTCTCTGGCGGCTCCTCCTGCAGCGTGGGGCAGGCAGGGGCAGGACCAGCCGGGCCTTCCTGTCGTTCCTGCCGCCCCTGCTGGAAGCGAGTGATGGCTCTGTGGTCCTTCTGCCGCTTGGCGCGCATCACCTGGCTGCTGAGGTCCTGGCTAGAGGCGCTAATCTCGAAGATAGTCTGTGGGGGACACCGCAGTCTACTGCCCGACCATTCCATCGCCTCTGTACCCAAGCCCACCTCACCAGCAGGGGGAGCCCTCCCCAGCCCTGCCCAGCATCTCTAACACTGCCTGAGTGGGCACCTCAGTTAGAAAGGGAGGCTCCGAAAGGGTGGGCAACCTGCCCAAGGCCACACAGGTAGGAAAAGCCAGAGTATGGGCTTCAGCGGGAGTTCACACGGCTCCCAGAGCAGTGCTCTTGACCATGGTGCCCAGGGCGCTCATGCCCACTGTGAGCCTCAGTCTACCCTCAGCAGTCTTCACGACACCCACGCCTGCTGCAGGGTGAGAAGCTACAAGCTCAGGAAGCCCTGCTGGGCAGGAGCCCACTGGGGTCGCCGTGTGAATCCCTCACCGCACGGGAGCGGTACTGCCGGATGCTGTCCACCAGCCTCAGCCGCTGCAGCTCCTCCTCCTCGAAGCCCGAGCCTGGGGAGGGGTTTGGAGGCGTGAGGTTAGGGTGGGGTCCGTGAGGCCGCCCGCTGCCCTGACGGCACCAGGGACTCACTGAAGAGCGGGTGCAGGCCCAGCGCCACCAGGTCCAGCTCCTTGGCCCTCTTGATGGACTCGGGCGAGGGCGCGGGCCGCGAGCGCACATACTGCTGCTGTGCGTTGTCAGCCACCCGGCCCAGGCTCCGCAGCTCCAGCGACACCTCCAGCGCAGCCCGCAGGCCGCCGTCCTCATCATCTACCACGCTCTGTGGCACCCGGCCCAGCACGCCGTCCACACTGCCTGCACCTGCACGGAGCCGCGGAGTGCCAGGTGAGGGCCTTCCCCCCACCTGCCTGGCACCCGCCTCCCCGCACCTCGGCCCAGCACCGCCAAAAAACCCCAGCCAGACCCAAATGCATCCAACCCGACCAGAGCCGTGCTACTGACTCACGAGCTTTACCCACAACTGACGCTACTTCCTCCCGGTCAGAGCCAGGGCATGCTGGGCCTGTCCCAGCTGCATCCCTGCTGGCTCCAGACTGAGGGGACCTGGCCCCTGCACCCCCATTCACCTGTGGGCTCCTGGTTAGGGGGAGCAAGACTGAGGGTGCGGCCCACAAACAGGTGCAGGTCCAGCAGGTAGGGGACCTCATCCGGGGACACCAAGGAGTAGGCAGTGCCACTCCGGCCAGCCCGGGCCACACGGCCTGCAGGAGAGAGGAGGTGCCCAAGCTTCAGTACAGGAGAGGGTCCCAGGCCAGCACGAACTAGGGGTGCTGACCCTGACTGCACATTCAGCAGTCGTGACAGTACAGTGACCAAAACAAAACCACCTAATACCAAGCCCTTTTCAGGAAAGATGTGCCACCCCATCCATCACAGAGTGACACTGAAGAGTAAATGACAAGATTCCTAGCATAGACTGATGGTAGTAGGAGCGGGTTATGGAAAAGAATACCAAGTAGGATTCCAACTTTGTGTTAGGTGTACTTCTAAGGACTGCGCCATCACATTTCGGCCTATTTCTGTATCTTTTTTCGTTTGTTCGTTTTTGAGACAGGGTCTCCCTATGTAGCTAAGGCTGGCCTCAAACTCTGATCCTCCTGCCTCTGTCTCCCAAGTGCTAGGATTACAGGGGTGCACCACCATGCCAGGGCTATTTCTGTATCTAAGGAGAACTAAGTGGCACCACATTTGGAGGTTCCGTTGAGGTGATTTATGCTGTTGGTTATGTAGTGCATGAGAAATTCCTCATGAGCGGTTCTGGGGTCCCCTCCAGGACATGCAAAACCAGCCCCCAGGGAGCAATGGGGACTAGGGAACAGGGACAAGGTGCAGACCCTGGCCTGGTTGCCTCACATGGCCTGACCTTAAGGGGCAGGGAGGGGACCCTGTGCATCCCCCTTACACACTTCTCCTAGGGCCACTCCCAGCCCGGCGGCCAGAACACACTTACTGCACCTGCCACGAGCAGCCATGTAGGACTCTGTGACCCAGCTCAACGCCCACAGCTTAACCATATTTACAAACACATGTGGTGCAGTCAAAAAATACCCCGAATGAAAAACTTCTGACAGCGAAACACCCGCCTTGTGTGGAACACACTTTATCCCATCATTTTGCCACTTTCTGAAGCAGCTGAGGGAGTCTTTTCATGTCTGTACTTGTGCTGTTCTGGCTGCCTGACTATCCTGAATTCAAAATGTTTCCCTTTCATGGTTATTCTGACTTGGGAAGAGCCGCAGCCCGGGGCCAGATCCAGGGAGAAGGTGGCTGAGGACACTGCAGTGTTTCTACGAGCTGCCTTTCGGTTAGATGGTGCTCGGCGGCAGCAGTCACCATTATTCTGATCACATTTTGTAAAGGCACTGACAAGGAGGGCTTCCAGAACTGCTCCAGGAAGTGGCCAGAAAGCCGGGCATGGTGGTGCACACGTGTGATCCCAGCACTCAGGAGGCTGAGGCAGGAGGACCAATAGGAGTTCAAGACCAGCTTGAACTACATAGCAAGACCTTGTCTCAAAGAGGAAAAACAGAAAGTGGCATAAACGATGGGGCAAGTGAGTTCGAAGTTTGGGCCCACTGGAGTTAGCGGTCAAAGGGGGGCGAGCAAGCGGGATCGGGGACCCCTGGGGCGCCGGTGCTCCTCACCCACTCGGTGCAGAAAGAGCTTGCCCTTGGCGGGGAAGCTGTAGTTGATGACGTTGTCCAGCAGTGGGATGTCCAGGCCGCGCGCGGCCAGGTCGGTGACGATGAGCGTGGAGCACTTGCCGTGCGTGAACCTGGCCAGGTTGATCTTGCGGGCCGTCTGGTCCAGAGCGCTGTAGATGTGGGTGCAGCTCACGCGCTGGGTGCTCAGCAGCTGCTTGGGCGGAGGCGGGGGTGAGAGGAGGGGACAGGGACCGGACCGCAGGGGTGCGTGTGGCACCCTGGGTTCGAATCCCAGCTCTCGCCAGGGTCTCCGGGCACTGAAGGTGATGACACGCACAGGGCTGCCTGGGTAGAGTCCTATCCTACAGTGCCGCTCGCGAGCTCTGTGACCCTGGGCGAGTCGCTGGGCCTCGGGGCCTCCCTTCCTCATCAGTAAGGGGAACAACGGCGCCTTCTCCATGGCGGTTAGCATTCAGCGGGTCAGTGCACCCAGTGCTGAGAACAGGAAGCTGATTCGAGTGCTGCTGTGTCCCTGAGATTTGCTCCCTCGGCCTTGTTCACTGGTGACCCGGGCAGCGGCACGGCAGAGGCACAAGCAGCAGAGCCAGGGTGGACGGGCAGGGACGCTGGGACCCTCCACGCCTCCCTCCACACCTCCTTCCACGGGGCCACAGGTACACGCGTGAAGACACCACGGGCACTCACACTGCAGCCTGAAGCTCCCAACATAGCCTGGCGGCAGCCGACTACCACCCCACACAAGGACGGGGCAGGAGGAGCGCAAGTTCGAGCCCAGCCTGGACAACTTAGCAAGAGCTCTATTTTAAAATGCCTGGGATGTAACTCAGTGCAACTGGATTTAATCTGCAGTACTGCAAAAATAAGTAAATAAAATTTTAAAAATTAAAACTTCCAACACTGCAGAACTGAGATGGAAGGCGGGGTGGAGATGAACCCAGACTGGCCAGGGGCTGCTGGCAACAACTCTGCCTAGGTAAAGAGCGCACCAGAGATTAAGTGTGAGCTCTAGCCGGGCCCAGGCCCGAGTGCCGCAGCGCTCCCGCCCTCTGGTGGCCGCCCTCGGAAGTGCAGCCCCAGCAGGAGCTGGTCCCCACCACCCGGGCCGCTCACCTCTGGGAGGCACTCACTCACCTCCTGCAGGTACTCCGCGTGGTGCTTGGTGGCCACAAACACCACAGTCTGGTCCTGGGGGCGCACCACGGTGCGCAGCAGGTGCAGCAGCACGGCAGCTTTGGTGTCCTCCCGCACCAGGAAGAAGGAGGTCTGGGGGCACAGGGGCAGGCAGTAGGCATTTGGGATGCACGGGCTCTGTTCTGAGCCTGGGCCTGGGGACATCAGGTCCCCTCACCTTGAGCTGCTCGTTGAGCTTGGCGTCCACGTCCAGCCGGATGAGCACGGGTTCCGTGAGGCCTGCAGTGGGCCCAGGAGGTGGGGGCGTCACTGGGGGGCAGGAAGGGACCCAGGCCGGTGACAGCAGCACCACCCCCACTCACCTGCGCGGGCGAACTCCACCAGCAGCTTGGGCAGTGTGGCCGAGAACAGCACCGTCTGGTGGCCCCCAGGGAGGCGGCTGATGATCTCCTGCAGCTGCTCAGCAAAGCCCATCTCAAAGAGCCTGGGGACGGGCGGAGGGCAGGGTCACCCCATCAGACACATCGGCCACATGTGCTGCCGTGCCTTTTGTTTGGGTTCGTGTTTGAGACAGGGTCTCACTATGTAGCCCAGGCTGGCCTTGAACTTGTGATCCTCCTGCCTCAGCCTCCCCAGGGCTGGGGTTACAAGCGTGTGCCACCACACCTGGCTCCATGCTCTCAACATTATTCTATCTCTAATCTCTTTGGAATCCTGTGTTAGTTTTTTAATTATCTTTTTAATACTCCTAAAATGCAAAATTAAAAAGTACTGGTGCCAAGCTTGCTCCCAGCGGCCATGCCTCCCCAGGCCTGCCCCGTGCTGGGGTGCCCCCATGGCCTTACCTGTCCGCTTCATCGAAAACCACGTACTCCACACTGTGCAGCTTCAGGTTCATCTCCACGGCCACGTGCACCAGCCGGCCAGGAGTGGCGATGATTCTAGGAGGGGGCGCATGGGCCGGGTCACCCCTAGGCCATGGCCACCACTCTAGCACCCCTGTCCCTGCAGTCACTGCCCCTTGGGAAGGGGCCCCAGAGCACCCCCAAGGCACAGACTCACATGTCGGGGTTCTCGTGCAGGGCTGCAAACTGGTCCTCCATTCTGGGGAGGAGAAGAGGGTCAGCAGGGTGGAATGGGGCTCTTGTAAGGAGTCCCCTTGCCTTGTCCCCAGAACATGAGCGGACGGACAGCTGTGGCCAAGACGCCAGGCGAGGGCACTGCCCTGGCCACAGAAATGAGCTGGAACGTGCAGACAGCTCAGAGCTCCCTGGACTCACCAAGCTGCCTGTGACCCACAGCTGCCGAGCAAGCAGCCCTGGGACTGCAGGCTTCACACAGAACCCAGATTCCCTCATCTCGATGTGTCTGTCCTTAAAGCTTTGGGGCACACACCCCTAACTTTGGTCCTCCCCCGAGATGCTCTTGGGACAGCTGCAGGAGCAAGACCCTGGGCCAGGTGTACCTGGGGAGGTAGAGGCCTCTGACAGGCACAGACTAGAGATAACACAGTGGGCAAAGGACTGAAAAGCCAAACTAACTGTGAGAACCAAGAGCCAGGCATGGTGGCGGACACCTGTAATCTCAGCACTTGGGAGGCCGAGGCAGGAGGATTGCCATGAGTTCAAGGACAGCCTGGGGTACATAGTGAGTTTAAAGGCAGCTGGAACCACATAGCCAGACCCTGCCTCAAAAGAACCCCAAGCGTGACCGTCAGCACGGACCCTGGAGAAAAGAAGGGAGGTAGGAGGACAGGTGCTGCTCCCAGCCCTGCAGCCCTCATCACTGCAGGGCTCTGGGTCGGTCTGCTCCTCAGTCCACTCACCTGAGAAATAGGTGTGCACCTGCCACCTTCGGAGGACAGTGGGAGCATGCCAGGAAATGATCCTTTGTGTTTTGTTTGTTTTTTGAGATAGGGCTCTCACTGTGTAGCACAGGCTCGCTTCGAACTCAAAGTGATCCTCCTGCCTCAGCCTCCACAGTGCCGGGGTTACGGACGTGAGCAGCATGCCTGGCTGGAATGATCTTTACAAGGGGGACCTACTACACCACTCCCTGACTTTTGTACACCCTGCTTTTTGTTGTTTTTGCAGGGCTAGAGGTGGAACCCTAGGCCAGGACTCGACCCTGCTGCTGAGCTGCAGCTGAAGCTTAACCTCCTATGGTTAAGTGGCCCTCCAGGAGTGAGGCCCTCAGGCCCCAGGCTTTGGTTGCCCTGGGCCACCATGACCCCCGGTGTGCGGCCCCTGGAGGTTGGTTGTTTTTGAATGTTACTAAGAAGCAACACAGGCTCCGCCACAAGACAGGACCAGGACCGCCTGTCTGCCACACACGATGGGCGGGCCTGGGGGAGGGGCCCTTACTTGTCCCCGCCCAGGATCAGGGCTGTCTTGAGGCCGGTGAACCTGCCCAGCTGTGGAGGGAGAGAGACACGGTCAGCACTCCCAGCCCTGGCCCAGCCCCAGGCCCTGGCCGCCTGCCCTGGGCCTCCTGCTGCACCTCCTTCGTGAACTTCATGGTCTGCAGGGCCAGCTCCCGGGTGGGCGAGAGGATGAGGGCCCGGGCGCCGGTCTGGGCACTCCGGGTCTTGAGCCGCTCGAACATGGGGATGAGGAAGCACGCCGTCTTGCCGCTGCCTGTCCGCGCCATGGCCACCGTGTCCTTGCCATCTAGGATCACCGGGATGGTCTGAGGGGACACAGGTGGGGGGCTCATTCCCTGTGGGAGAACTCAGGGTCTCCGTGAATGGGTAGGGCCGTCACTCAGCCCTGCTCCCATTCCTGCAAACAGCTGTGTGCACACCTCCTGGGACTAGTGGCTCACTACCTGCGAAACAGCTGAGCCCTGTGGCATTTCAGCCTCAGTGACAGGAGGCGGCCGAGTCACTGACCCCTGCCTAGCCCTGGTCTCCCCGCCGCTCACCTTCCTCTGGATGGGCGTCGGCACTTTGTAGCCCTTCTTCATGATGCCCTTGAACACGAGGTAGCTCAAGCCTGGGAGAGATTCAGGGACATCGGTCAGGGCTGGGGACACCCACACAGTGCAAGAACTTTACAAGACAAAGGACTGGCTCACCAAAGGGTGAGACAGCAAGAAAAATAAAGTGCTAAAGCAGAGATGCTGGGCGCGGTGGCACATGCCTGTGATCCCAGCACTCCAGAGGCTGAGGCAGCAGGGCTTTGAGTTCAAGGCCAGCCTGGGCTACACAGATCTCATCTCAGAAAAATAAAAAAGTGCTAAAGCAGAAACTAAAGATGAGGTGTGGCCTAAGACAGAAAATCTCCTGACTGCAAAGGATGAAGCTCATCTGGACTCTGGCTTGAACACACTCAGGGTCATGAGACAGCAGGGCTCCTGAACAACACTGAGGACTGTGCCCTTGGCCCCTGAGGGGTAAGGTCCCAGGTCTCTGGGGATAGGTACAGATGCGCCTCAGAGTCCCCGGGGCGGTGGGGAGGGACACCGGGCTGAGCTGGCTGGGGAGTGCATGCCACCCACTGCTCTCTACTTGCCTGCAGGCTCCAAATTCTTGACAATTAAAAAAAAAAAAGATGCCGAGTCCCTGGCCCCAATGAGCGGTGAGACACGGGGTGCTGGTGGGTGGCAGCTCAGGACAGAATTGGACTGCAGCTGTGGAGCTGGGGACACCAGGGGCCTTAGCCGCTTTCCAGCCAATCCTTCCAGCCCCGAGGGCTGATTTCCTTCTTGGTGTTTGCAGTGAAGTTCAGCACTGTTGTCGGTCCGACTGTCTGGACGGCCTCTGCGGAAGGACTCACCGCAGCATGTTTATCCTCCAGCTCTCCTCGGGCTGTGGCTCTTTCTCAGCGACTATACACTTGTGTGTGAGGGGTACTAACCTGCCTGTCCTGTGGGTTGCAGACATGGTCCCCATGTGGCTCTGAACCTACCTCACAGTGCTCATTGGCCTACATGTGTCCAATTCAAAAGCAGTCAAACGAAACAGTCTTCAGCTCACACCTGGAAAGCCCTCCTCTTCCTCTCCAAGGCTATGAAGATAGCACTTTAGCTCTATTTACTTATGTGCTCTGTGGTACTGGGGTTGGAACCTCATTGTACCAGGCAAGCTCCTATGAGCTAAACTCTCTACCACTGAGCTCCACCCCCAGCCCTGGGTCTCCCTGAGTTACCCAAACTTGCAGTCTTCCTGTCTCCAGCCTCCTGAGGAGCTGCAATTATAGACAGGCATGCGCCACCACTCCCAGCTCTCGTTTTAGGTTTAAATCTTTGTCCCAGCAGCTAGGGACTTGAAAAGCCATGTGTAAGGCCCCGGGTGCTGGCTTGGTCTCCCCATCCCTACCAGAGTGCTGGGCCAGAGCAGGCATCAGGGACCGAGGGCAGAGGCAGGCTGGGCTCCTGCTGCTGTCCCCCCTCCCCAGCCCAGCTCGCTTACGCACCCATGGACTGGAAGCCCCCAGACTTCTTCTTCTTCTTGTTTTGTGCCCGCACCATCTCCCGCGTGTCCAGCTCCACGTCTGAGGTGCATTCCGAGGTGGGGAAGCTGGGCAGGGGCTGGCCAGGTCCTCGCTGGGTGGGAGGATCAGAAAGGCAATGTCACCTGTATGGGTTTTTTTTGGCACTACTAAGGATTGAACCTAGGGCCTTTGCACTGAGCTACATTCCCAGCCCTTTTTAATTCTTTAACTTTAGTTCATTAGTACATGGGTCATGAAGTTGCCCGGGCTGGGCTCGAACTTGTGATCCTCCTGCTTCAGCCTCTCTGAAGGTGTGTGTCACCATGTCGGGCTATTGAGTACGGTAATATTTTTTTACTCCTCTAGTTTCTTGAGATAGGTGCTTATAGAATTAGTCCAACCTTTAAAAATTAATGTAAGTCAATTTTCCTGTGAATATTTTTTAAGCGTCTTCCCATTGGCACTTCTATGACTACTTTATTATTTTAAGCATTATTATTTTTTAAGTATTATATTACTTCAGTACCAGCTGTTTTAGTTTGTTTTGTTTCTGTGGTACCAGGGATTGAACCCAGAATCTTCTCACTGAGCTACATCCCAGGGCTTTTTTTTTTTTTAATTTCATTTTGAGCCAGGGCCTCCTGATGTTGCTAAATTGCCCAGGCTGGGCTCAGCTGGGCTCAAACTTTCAATCTTCCTGTCTCAGCCTCCCAGAGTGCTGGGATTTACAGGGCCCCATGCATGCTAAACAGGTCCTCTACCACCAAACTGTACTTCCACCCTCAAATATGTCTTTAAAAAAATAAGGTTTCCTTGATCTTGGCAAACAAACAATATGTATACAAGGTCCATTTAAAACATATCAATCCAGGAGCCTGAGGCAGAAGGATCACTCGAGCTCATGAGTTTGAGATCAGACTGGACAACACAGCAAGACACTATTTCAAAAACAAAACCCATCTCTGGGCGTGGTGTGGTGGTGAACACTTACAATCCCAGCACTTGGGAAGCTGAGGCAGGAGGATCTCAGCAAATTCAAGGCCAGCCAGCGCTACATAGTGAGTTCATGCGCAGGCTCAAATAATATATAGTGAGACCCTGTCTCAAGAAAACAAAATAAAATTAAAGTCTCCCACCTCTCTCCTGTGCTAAGGATCACACGCAGGAGTGCTCTACCACTAAGCTATATCCTCAACCCTTTTTATTTTTTTGACAGGGTCTCACTAAGTTTCCCAGGTGGGATTCAAACTTGTGATCCCTCCTGCCTCAGCCTCCATTGATGCCTGGATTACAGGTGTGCGCCACCACACCTAGCTTAAACCCTTTCTCCTTTACTCCCTGGATGGTCTTTGCTTTTCTACCTGTGCACTGACAGATGATAAGAGACAGAAGGCCAAAGGATCTGCAAACGGTGTATCCCTAGCACCTGAGCTACTGCCCAGCCCATCCTTGGATCGGGAATTGAAAAAGCCACTTACCATCATCACTGTCCCAGAAGGTAGCTGTGATCAGAAAGGAAGGGGAAAGACAGGTGCATGGACAGAGATCCGTTATATTTAGGAGAACACAGCACACCCAAGAGCTAAGCAGTGTGGCCAGTCGGCCGTAAGTGCCAGGGGTCCCCAGCCCTCCTCTCGGTGTGAGGAGCCATTCGAATAAAGTCAAGCAGCTTCGCCAGTGCCCCAGGCAGTGCAGGGCTGGGTCACGTTTGAATACAGGACCAGGCCTCAGCACAGCCGTTGGCCTGAGCCACAGTTACATATCCTTCTATGGCCTACCTCAGCTCTGGTCTGTGGTCGCTTCATCACCTACTGAGTGTGGCCACTGGCCGGGCTGAGGTGGGAAAACGGCGGGATGAGGTCTCGCCGTCCGTGCCTTGGCGGTGTAGTCTATTCCCTTCATGCCAACGCCCCCGTACTCATCCCAGCGCCTAAAGCCCACTCTGCGCCCACCGCTGAACACAGGACAGTGGGGACTCCGGGGGCACCGGTCATCCGCCACCTCGGTGCCCACACCTGTCTCCCTCATCGTGTACGTTCGGCACTCCGAGGTGGACGCGGTACAGTAAATGATCAACAAATACAGTACACGTGTAACTTGTTATTAGTGTCCCCGAGGTCTGGGGCATCAGTGCCTCCAGCTCCGGGGCCCGGCTCCCCCTTAATGCTGTCTCCCAAGAACACCCCGAACTCTCAAGTCAGACCTTCCTCACGCGCACTCCCCGTTGGATGAATGGACACTGGGGCCCGCCCCCAGGGCGGGGGTAGCCAATGAGAGCGAGCGATCCGAGCCGGCAGGGAAGGCCCGCAGGCTCCAGAGCCCGGACTGGAGGCTCGCCCGAGGGTGCCACAGGCCCCGGGACCCGTGCTCAGGCCGGCGGCCCGACGGACTCTCGCCCCACGTGAGGAAACCGAGGTCCCGACGCGCGTCAGAGCCCTGCGCTCCTACCTTCCGCGCCCGGGCGTCATCTTCCGCCTGAATCTCAAACTCGCCATCCTCCGAGTCGCTGCCGTGGGCCTGGGAGACTGCGCCCCGGCGCTTTCGGAGCCCCTTCTTCTTCTTCCACTGGGCCATGGCAACTGGCGACCGCGGCCCGGCCGCCGCACGTTTGCCGGCCGCCATGCTGGCCCTGGCGCTCAGAACCCGGAAGTGGGCGGGCCTTCAGGACGTACCAACTGCGCAGCGGCCGGGGGGAGTGGAGGCACGTCCACGTGCCTCGCTGGTCGCTCTCGGCCTGCCGCCCGGGAGGCCTGCGCGCACATCCCCGACTGGCGCTGGAGGCCCTTGGCGTAGCTTTGCTGGACTCGGCGGCCTCGAAGACAAGGCGTCCTCCCCTACCCCGCGGCGTTCGTGGTCCGGCCCGCATCCGCCTAGCTGCTGCTAGTTGTTGGTTGCTGGTTGTTGGATGCACGCGCTGAGCGCGCGTAGCTAGAGCTCACTTCCTGGGCTGAGTCCCCGGGCGCGGGTTCCCCGCAGCCTGAGCTGTTTGGGTTCTGGGTCCTTGAGCTTTCCGGGCTGCAGATTAGGACCTTGGATGCAGTGCGCTCCGCGGGTGCTCCTGCACCCCCACCAAAGGGCCCAGACCCGGGGAGAAGGAGGCGCGGGGAGGGGGCGCCAATGGTCGTATCCGAAGCCCGCAAGCCAAGATGCTCAGGTAGGAAAATAACCCAAGGCTGCAGGGATCGTAGAATATGGAGAAGGCAGCAACCTTCTCCACAGAGTAGAGTGGTTAAGTGCACAAACTCTGGATTCCTGTCAGGTTCAAATTCCTCTTCCACTTTTTTAGCTTTTTAGGCGTGACCCACACATGACTTCTCCTTTTGAAGCCTCAGATTTGCGACCCGTAAAATGGATATAATCAAAGCTTCACGGGGCTGTTGATGATTAAGTGAGACAATGCTTGTAAAGCTCAGTGCGCGAGGTAGGCATGGGATCCATACTGGCCGTCACCACCCACCCTGCATACGTATACACAACATACAGGGAACTGTCTGTCTCCCACCCATACCCCGGGATTTGCTTTCTGGTTGGTGCCATCTCTCCTTCATACCCTAGTCATTCTATAAATATTTGTCGAACACACTGCTAGAAGTACTTTTTAATTTATTCATTAAATGTTTGCCAGTAACCACTACTTTTCCCATCATGACAACTGAAAAAAAAGTCAAATTTCCAGAATATTCCCGAGGCTGGCAGCTCCCGTTGGAGGAGGAACTAGACCCTCTGTCCTTGGGATGGGGATGAGGACTCCAGAGACTGCCTGCCCTTGGCTCAGAGGTGTCTCCTTGACCCCTTTCACAGGGAGCCCCAGAGACAGGGCCTGGCGGACAGATCTCCTCCGCTGTCACCCAAGGCCACTTGCAGCATGAAGGCCCCCGTGCAGCAGTCCGCTCGTGGGATGCAGGCCCTCCACCCTCAGCACCGCTGCCGGGTCGGCTGTCGGGTCAAGGCCAGGGCATCGTATGTGGATGAGACTCTGTTTGGCAGCCCCGTGGGCACTCGGCCCAGTGTCCCAGGCTTTGACCCGCCCTGGGTGCAGAAGACTAACGGAACCAGAGCAGTGGGCACCAGGGCGATACAGAGCTCTCCAGGCAAGGGGAGCTGTGAGACCACCCCCTCTGGGGGCAGCACCCCAGCCCTCACGCCAGGGAAGAAGAACAGATACAGGTAAGGGGGGTCCTTTCCTCAGCACATTCACCTGAGGGCCTCTTACAGCGCCCCCTGCTGATCACTTACTGTGTGACTCTGGCCAAGCACGTTGACCTCTCTAAACTGCAACTGACTTATGTGGAAGACAGGATGAGAGATCCCTGCAGAGCAGGACTATAGGACAAGGAGTCCTACAGTGCTTGGCTCTCAGTCAGTATGGTGGTGATGACTGTGAGAGGCCCAGAGAGGTCAGGTGACTTGCCCCACTCACAGCAGAGTTTGGGTCAGGTAACCCGTGAAGTGATGGAGCCAAGGTCCTTTGCGGCAGGTCCTTTTTAGCAAGTCCTTCTGAGCAGGGGTCTGGGTGCGTCTTCATGAATAAATTAGGAAAAATAAGAGCCGATGCTAATGGTTATTGTTAGTTAATTAGAATTCGATTATTTGGGTTATTCCAGATTAGTATTGGCCTGGAGCCGCGTGGTGATGCATGCCTAATTCCAGGAGGCTGAGGCAGGAGGATCTCAGTGAGTTCCAGGCCAGCCCAGCTACATTGTGAGTTCAAGGACTACCTGAAAAGCAAAAGAGAGAGAGAGAGAGAGAGAGAGAGAGAGAGAGAGAGAGAGAGAGAGAGAGAGAGAGAGAGAGGTGTCCAGTGAAGAGCCTCAGGGCTCTGTAGGCACTGTTTTCAGTGGCTTGGACTAAGAAACCTTGTGCCTGGGAGGGCATCCATAGCCTACATGCAAACACTGCTCCATTTGTACAACGGGCTGCAGATTTTGGTCCTTGCTGGACCTCCTGGAACCAATCCCCTGGATGCCAAGGGATGGCTGTAATTGGGACTGTCAGTGGCAAGTGACAGTAAGTTTGCTCCAACTGACTTGCCCAAAAAAGGGGCATTTGGAGTTCCTGCATCGGGTCCAAGCTGTCATAACAATGGCCAGTCTCCATCTTAGTGCTGCTTTTCTTCCTTCTGTGTGTCCTCAGTCTCCAGGAGGGTGAGATGGCCATAAGCTACTCTGGGCTGGCTGGTACCCTGTCAGTTTAGGAAGGAGCAAGCCCAGGTGGCAAAAACATCTCTTTCCTAGTTTCATCAAAGATCCTAAGGCAGGGCTGGGTGTGGTAGAGCACACCTATAATTCAAGCACTCAAGAGGCTGAGGCAGGAGGATGCCAGGAGTTCAAGGCCAGCCTGGGCTACAAAGTAAATTCAAAGGTAGCCTGAACTATATAGTGAGACCCTGTCTCACAAAACAAAACAACACAAAAACAACAAAGATCCTAAGGCAGGCTCTCATTGGACAGGCTTGGGTCATGTGGCCTTTCCTGAGCCAATCAATGTAGCCAGGAAGATGGAATATGCAAATTGGCCAGGCCTGGGGCACATGCCTGGTAGTGAGGTCAGGATACTGAAGGACTGAAAAATTTGTAGGGGAAAACAACAGATGGAGAAGGTGCTACCTGAGAGGACTGTGACCTTACTGTGGGTGCCAGGCTGAGACGGGGACGCTAAAGAAGGCAGTGCTCTTCTCTTCTGTGGGTGTCTGGTTGGGGCTGGGATGGGGGTGCTGTTGAGTTCTTAGGGACCACTCATGCCCAACTCACCACAAGTGTTGCTCTTCCCTCTGCCAGGCTGATCAACCACACTCCGTCTTACTGCGATGAGTCACTCTTTGGCTCCCAACCCAAGGGCACCAGCTGGGAGGCCTCTCGCATGGCGAAGGGGGACACAGCAAAGCTCCACACCCTCTTTTGGACACCGCCCGCCACTCCCAGGGGCCGTGACTCTCCCCGCCCCAGGGAGATCCCACTTCGAGCTGTCCATCCAAGTGGCTCCTCCATGACACGGCCCCAGGTGGCAGCTGACTCCCAAGGGTTGTCCCTGGACGGCCCCGAGGTCCCTCGCCCTCTGAGGCGAGAGCGTTCCCATTCCCTCACCTGCCTGAGCGTCCCCAGTGCTGGTCACCCAGCCTCCAGTGCCCCCCACACAAATGGACCTCAGGACCCCAGGCCTCCCCCAGCAGGGATGACCTTCCGGAGCCCTCTGGTGAACCCCAGGGCTCCCTCAGTCAGTGCTTCAGTGCCAGCTACCCCCCGGCGAGGCAGGGGACCCCAGAATCCAAAGCCCCCCTGGAGGTGAGCTGCTTTCACATGAGGAGGGATGCAGCCCCTCGTGGGGCCCCTTCATGAATGGAGGAGCCCCCGAAGGACCTCCATGGCATGGGTGGGCAGTGCCTCCCTTTATCTTGACAGTCCGCTTGCTCTCTGCCTTCTCCCTGATACGTCTCTGGCCCCCTGGAGATGTCCCCTCTGGCCTGTCCCAGCCATACTACGAATCAGTGCCAGTCCAGGGCTTCCGCCTCCTGTTGTCTGGTGGCCATGTGTGACTTGCCACCAGGAGCGGTCCTTCCCACCTCCCTCCCTCCAGGCCAGCTTTCTGCTCAGGACCCAGGGTCCTCCTGAATCTGGAGGCATTAGAGGAGTTTTCTTTGAAATGTGTGTATTTATTTCCACGTATTAAATATATCTGTAGCTCATCAAAGCCAAGAGTGTTACTGATTTTGTTTGCCCTTAGTAAGGCCATAGTTAGGCTGCGCTCACTGTCCAGTTGAAGCTGCCTTTGGAATCCCAGGATCCTGCCCAGGCGATCTGGGCTTTGAGGCTCCTTGTCCCCTTCCCCTCTGCACTGGGATTCCAGGGACCCCCTGGGAAGCCTCAGCATTGGGTTGGTGCCTTCATCCTGGGGAGGGGCCACAGTGGCCAGGGCCAGAGCCACACGTCTGAACATCTGCAGGGGTCAGATGGGCCACAGGGGAACCAGGTCAGCTTCCCTCAGCACAGACAGACTTCGTATTTTGTTGTCAGCTTTTTGAGATGGGGGTCTCACTACGTATCTCAGATTATTCTCGAACTCTCAGTGATCCTCCTGCCTCAGCCTCCAAGTGCTGGGATGACAGGCACATGCTGCCACATCTAGCTAATGCACTTTGAATGTGTTCCCCCACCCATTTTAGTAGGTCCACCAGAAATGCTCTAAGGATAGTTGGCCCCAGGCGGTGCTGTCGGTGGCACTTGGGAGTGGTAGGGACTGTGACAACCTGCAGGCTCTACCATCTAAGGGGTACATGGCTTCCGGGCCCTGCTGCCCTTGTGGGAGACTCGCCTGTCTCAGCCATTACAGCTCTGGGCAGGGACAGAAGGGACTGCGGCCATCGCCTTGGTCCCACCTGAGTCTACCCCTGCTTGGCTGCCCAAAGCCCGAGGCAGAGAAAGGAGCACTCATGGGTAGCGTTCCCTTGAATGTAATTTAAAACTTTTAATTTGAAGAGAATCGTGGGAGCCATGAATGGTAGGGCCTTGACCCTGGCTGGGCAGAGGAGGGCTCACTTCTTGCCCTTGCCCTTGCGCTTGCCCTTGCCCTTGCCACGCTTCTTCTTTTTGGAGCGCAGCATGGAGCGCACCAGGTAGCCCTTCCACACGGCCTGGATGAGCGTGGCCGCCCGCACCATGCGCAGCATCTCACGCTCGGCCTCCAGCCGCTTCCTGGAGCTGACCTCGCGCTCGGCCTGGATCTGGCTGAACTCCTCCACCAGCACCTGGTGCCGCTGCCTCAGCTCCTCCAGCTGCTGCTTCTCCTCCTTGTGGATAGTCTGCAGGTCCTCGAACTCCTCCTGGTGAGGGGGGCGGGGCGGGGCTCAGGGCGTCCCCTGCACCCCAACCTTCTGGAGGCGGAGGCCCTGCCTGCCCTGGGGCAGACCCGGCTGAACGCACACAGGGCAAGGGAAGAACCTGGATGCAAGAGGTCGGACAGGCTGGGTCGCAGCCCCGCAGCCCCTGAAGGGACTTCTTCACCCTAAGCCTGTTTTTTCTCATCCCATACATGGAGACAACTCCAAAGCCAGGGGCTATTTCTGGGATCAAATGGCCTGATGGATGCAATGTACTGGACCAGGGACCCAGTGCACAGAGGGGACACGGGAGTGGCTGCCGTAGCCGAGGAAGTAGAGACCCCAGGGGACAGACTGTGTCCCGACTGCTCCCAGAGTCCTGCTGCTGTCTGACAGCAGCTCCGGCTGTCACACGCTTCCCTCCCTCTCTGTCTCCTCTCCACTAACACCCAGCAAGCATCTCCTGGAAGCAGAGCGCTTTGGGGCACGCGGCACTGGGTGGACAAGGTCCCTGCCAGCCAGGAACCCACACCCTTACTGGATTCTGTTTGCCTTGGCCGGCAGAGGTGGAACCCAGGGACTTGCACGCCGCGCTGCACTCTGCCACTGAGCACTGAGCCGCCCACCAGCCAACCCTCATCAGAAGCAGAAACAAGACCCCCGCCTGCAGAGCCCTCCCAGGGGCTGCCCACTGCGCTTCCCCAGGCAGCGCGCCTGGCCTCCCTCCACCACAGGGCTGTGTCACCTCCAGTGTGCCCAGGTCGGGACCATGGGCCATCAGCAGCACCTGGAGCAGGGCGGGGGCCTGGGGCTCCCATTTGTAGGGCACCGCTCCTGCATACAGCCACTTGCACCAGCTCCCACCATGACCAAGACAGAGACGCAGCCTCGCTTGGCCAGAGAGAGCCGGGCCTGACTCAAGGTCGCACAGCTGGTAGGTGGCACAAGATTGGCACCTTCGAGGATAACGGGGGCTGTGTTTCCCCCACACCTGCCCCCTCGGCCCGCAGTGACCCATGGAGGAGTGGAGGTGGGGGTCCCTGCAGGTGAGCAGGCGGGGGCGCTGGAGGAGCAGAGCCGGGTGGGGCAGAGCTGAGTGAGGCCCTTGGAGGCTCAGCTGCCGCCCTTCCCTCCCCACCCTTCACCTCTCTGCCCGGCTGGGGCACCCTGGGCCTGCTGCAGGGCCCCGGGGAAGGCTGGGAATGTGGTCCACACCATGGGTACCTGGCTTCTCCTCCCCTCCGGGGTCTTGGAAAAGCATGAGAAAGAGACTTAGCAACAAATACCTGCTTTTCACTCATCTCCGTGTCATATTTCTGGATCCAGTTCTCGATTTCTGTCTCCACTTTATATTTTTTCTAAAAAAAAATCCAAACAGTTGGTGTCTGATGGGGGACTATAAATAATGACCAGCACAGAGCACTGTGTATCCCAGTGCTGCCAGAGTTCTCAGTTCCCCACTTTACAGATGAGGAGACTGAGGCACAGACATGATAACTCTCTTGGCCAAGGTAATAGAGCCAATGGGTGGTGGAGCTTGGATTTGAGTCACAAGTGGGGCTCCAGAACATTCTAGGCAGAGGGAGCAGCATGTGCAAAGGCCCTGAGGTGGGAACAGGCTGGTGATGTTTAAAGAACAGAAATCAGCTGGGCACAGTGGTCCACACCTGTAATCTCAGCACTTGCCAGGCGGAGGCAGAAGGGTCACTGTGAATTCAAGGCCAGCCTGGGCTACATAGCAAGACTCTGTTTAAAATGAAGGAAAGGAAGGAAGGAAGGAAGGAAGGAAGGAAGGAAGGAAGGAAGGAAAATCAGCCAGTGCAGTTAGAATGCAGTGACCAGGCCGGAGTGGTCCCTGATGAGGTCTGAGTGAGCCTGTCACTGAGAGCAGGTCACCAGAAGAGTTTGGATTCCTAGGTAAGGAAGAGGGAAAGGCACTGGGTGAATTTAGATGTGGGGGGGAGACATGACCTAATTTTGTTTTGAAAAGATCAGCTCTGCATCAACAGATGAATGGATAAAGAAAACCTGGTATATAGTGGAGTACTACACAGCCAGGAAAAGGATGCCCTTGAGTCATTTGTAGGAAAATGGATGCACCTTAAGACCGTAATGCTAAGTGAAATAAATCTGACACACACAAAAGGTTAAATATCATGTGGATTCTCTTATATGAGAAACCCAAAGTATACATCATTTAAAAAGCAAAATAAGAGGTAGGAAATAGACTTTGTGGAAATGGGAAGGAAATGGGGAAGACATGAGGGAGGAAAGGGGAAGAGGAAGTAAAATGGATGAAGTTGCAGTATGTTGCTGAGCGTGGTGATACACCCCTATAATCTCAGCGCTTGGGAGGCTGAGGCAGGAGGGTTGCCATGAATTTGAGGCCAGGCCGGGCTCCAGAGTGAGACCCTCCCACAGAGCAGGGGTTCTCAGCTTGTGGGTGGGCTGCTTCAGGGCTGTGACCCCCAGCACTGCCCACCAGGATGACCTGGGTATCTCTGCCTTCCCTTTGGGGGAGGGGCCGTGACTTCCATCAGATGCTCAAAAAAAGGCCTGCGACGCCCTTGGGGGGCGAGAGATGGGGAAGCTGGACGTGTGCTGGTCCTGGTCCGGCCCAGATGAGGACGGAGAGGAGACGCCGCGTGCCCGCCGGGTCACCTCCGCGCTCACCCCCACGGTGTCCTGGTTCTCCCGGGTAGGGTGTGAAGGCGGAAGCTCAGAGAGCCGGGTTCATCGGCCTGAACTTCTTGGCTACTTGCATCCTTTGCACCCGAGACGGTGGGGACTGTCCCCGCCGCGGGTCACAGAGGTCGCGGCCACAGAGCCGGCGCCGCGCGGCACCGCTTCTCGCCCCGGCCGGCCCTGCTCGGCCCCACCCCGCTCCGCACCTTGCGCAGCGCCTGCTCTGCCTCGTGGTTCTCGGACACCAGGCTGTGGTACTTCGAGCGCAGCGTCAGGATCTCCTGCTTCGTCTTGGCCATCCGGGCCTGCGAGGCGCGGAAGTCCGCCTTCTGCTGCTTCTCGGCCTCCTGCTTGGTGCGCAGCAGGCTGTGCTCCGAGAGCTTGAGCACCTGGTGCAGGTGGTTCTTCAGCTCCTGGATCACGAAGTTCTCCTTCTCCACCTGGCCAAGACGAGTCGGGCTTCGTCAGTCCCCGGCCGGTCGCCTTCCGTTACTGCCTCAACCTGCCCGGCAGGGGACAGGGACTGCCAACAACGGAGGGGAAACGAAGGGACAGTCTCCGGGTGTGAAGCCCAAGTGTGTCTGAGCGGAGGCAGCGTTCCCGGCCACCCCTCACAGGTCTGGAGCAGCCCCATGTTCCCCGGCTTGGCAGACACTTGGCCGGAAGCAGGAAGGTGTGGGACCCACACGGGCTGCAGGGGGCGCCCCGGGGCTGCTCCTTCCGGCCAGAGCCTGGCTTGTGCCCTGTCCTGGGCTGATTCTAAAACGGGAAGGCGGGTGGAGGGTGGTGTTGTTTTGTCATTTATGATTCTTTTTTTTTTCCTTTCTGGTACTGATGATTGAACCCAGGGTCTTTGCACTGAGCTCCATCCCCAGCCGTTATTTTTTTATTTTGTGTGTCGGGGGGGGGCGGGGGGGGGACCCGGAATCCAACTTAGGACCTTGCGCTTGCGAGGCAGGCACGGCACCACTGAGCTAAATCCCCGACCATTTATTTTTCATTTTGAGACAAGGTCTTGCTAAATTGCACAGGCTGGGTTCAAACCTGTGATCTTCCTGCCTCAGCCTCCCGAGTGCTGGGATTATAGGTGTGTGCCACCACATCGGGCTTGAGGATGGCACTGTTTTACAAGCAGCCTTGTCTCGGACACTGTGGCCTGTCTGAACACCCTGCAGCTGTGGCTGGCGTCAGCGGGCAGCGGGGGCACCGGGCTCTGAACTCACTTCCCGCACAGAGCACAGGGCCATAGTCAGCTTGGCCGGGATCCTCAGCACTAAGCTTTTCTTGCCAAATCCCACAACACCCTGGCCGATGTTGCCCCTCACTCTACACTGAGGCTCAATGACATGATGACATCTGCCTGTCTGGAAACACCGGTCCAACTTGAAGAGCCCAAGCTTCAAGACACAGCCTTCAGCCTGCCCTGGACAATGTCCCCTCCGATCTTCCTTCTGCCCTTCCTGGGTAAGCACCCTGAGGCCTGTCATCTGCCCACCCCATAAATATGTCACGCCCCTCTTTGTGCTGGACTCACTGGGGACACAATGGGAGGCCAGGAGGACAAGCCCCTGTTCTCTTGTTGGGGACCCAGACATAAATCAAATAATCACCCACTGCTGAGCACAGAGGACCATGCCTATAACTCCAACGCTCTGGGAAGCTGAGGCAGGAGGATTCTAAATTGGAGTATAGCATGGGCAACTTAGTGAGCCCTGTCTCAAAAACAAAAAGGGCTAGAGATATAGCTCAATGCACAGGCCCTGAGTTCAATCTCTAGTAACACACACACACACACACACACACACACACACACACACTAATCACACAAATATTTATCAACAAACTCTGATGAGTGTTTCACGAAGAACTACTCAGGGAGGGTGGGTGGCACATAGCTTTCCAGGGCCTTGCATCTCTCCTCTGTCTGGCGCAATGAAGATGGAAGAGCCTGTGGACACCCGGGGTCTCTACCAGCCCAGACCTGCTCTCCCTGGGAGGCTGCGGAGTCCAGGGTTTGGCTTGGACTACCTTTCCCAGCATCCCTTGTGCCGGGTGTGGCCAAGACACCCACGGAAGTGCTGCCTGCGGCCTCCAGGTGGCGCCCTCGCAGGCCCACAGTTAAATAAGAGTCCCACAGTGGGGACAACAGAGAAGCCAAGTGAGAGAACTCAGACCCCTGACAGCGTCAGACACGGGGCTGCCCGCCAGCGCCAGCCAGCCTTTTCATTACAGTGACACATTTAAGGCAAAACACAGTATGTGTCTGTGGTTCTCATCAGGCTGGAGGTCAGGCTACCATTCCCCTTAAAAATTCTTCTGGCGGGCTGGAGGTAGCTCAGTTCTGTTCTTGGCACTGAAAAAAAATCTAGTGTTTCCACCCCTCCCACTTACCCCTTGCTCTCCGAGATCAAATCCAAGGATAGGACACAAGGCCCCGTTTGATCCATCCCCTGCCCTCTCCTCAGCACTGTCTTTCTCCTTCTTTTGCTCGCCTGTATGTTGGGCTTTTGTTTGTTTGAGATCCTGGGGATTGAAGCCAGGGGGTGCTAGACCACTGAGCTACATCTCCAGGCCTTTTTACTTTTATGTGGAGACGGGGTTTTTTGCTAAGTTGCCCGGCCTGGGATTGACCTTGGGATCCTCTGCCTCAGCCTCCCAGAGTGCTCAGATGACAGGCATGTGCCACCACACTGGGCTGTAAATAAAGTTTTATTGGAACCCGGCCTATTCATTTACATATTGTTTATAGCTGGTTTCACTGGGTAACGGGCAGGGCTGCATTGTGTAGTTGACCATGTGACCCACAGAGCCTAATGCAGTCTACACGGTCCTCTGTAGAATAGTGTCAAAACCTGGCCTGGAAGTTCCTTCCCCCTCTTGGCCCTCTTGCCTGGTTCACTCCCTCTCAGTCTTCATGCCTTGGCTTCAGTGTCCCTGACCCTCTGAGTCCCCATTTGGTTGTCCTATATCATTCTCGTCTACCACCCTGTACTTATCCTTTATTATACTTCCCTGAATTGTAATTAAGTGAGTTAATACCTACCTCCTCAACTGTGAACTCTGAGGCTGAAACCATGTGGGCTTATTTATAAGACCTGTCACCCAGGAAGTGCTCCAAACCTTTGTGGAGTAAATGCATGGCGCAGAGCTATCTCAATCACAGAAAAATTCCCAACAACTGCCAAAGATGTGGGCCAGCTCCTTGCAGGACTGGACTGGTGCTGGGAGCCATACCTCTGTGTGCCTGTTCTTTAGCCTCGCCACCAGTTCTTTCTCGAGCACATTGATGGTCTCCTGGTTCCTCTGGTTCCGTCTGCTGATGTCCTGCAAGAACTGGGCCTTCTCCCGTGCCTGCATGGGGCTGGTGAGGAGCTTCTCGAACAGGAAGCCCCGCAGCTCCACCAGGCTCTCCAGGAAGTTCTGGGCCCCTGCGCTTCTGCACAGTGGCTGCATCTGCAGGAGCTTAGTGGCCTGGGGGTCGCTGAGCAGGACCCTCAGGATGTTCTTGGTGGAGCCCTTGATCTGCCACATGAGCGGCGGGAGGCTGGCTTTGTGCCGCTCCATTGAGAGGCGGCGGTCGCAGAGCCAGGCCTCCTCGGCCTCCTCCGGTGCCTCCTCCTTCAGCCGCCGCGCTTTCTCCTGCAGGTCACCCACACCCTCCAGCAGGGCCTGGCAGAGGGCCCTGTGCTCCCTCAGTGCCCCTGAGAGGTCCTCGCGCATCCCCACCAGGGCCTCCAGCGGGTCGGCTGCGTCCCACAGCAGGGTGACCAGCTCCACCTTGTAGATGGCCTCGTCCAGAACGGACATGATCCTCTTGGCCTCGATGGTGGTGAGTTTGGACTTCGGGGGGACCAAGGCTTTCAGTGGCTCAGCCGGCTTTGGAGACAGCTCCGTCTTCAGCGGGATTTGGCTGAAGTCAGGGACTTGGCTGATTGGGGCTGCGGTGAGGATGTCCACAGCCATGTCGGGAGTGGCCTGTGCCTCTGCACACCTTCTTGATGCTCTTTCTGTCCCCAGTGACCCTGTAAAGGAAGGAGGAGGCATAAGCGCCACACGGCTGGGCCTCTGCCCACGCTGTCGACAGTGACAGTCATCTGTGGCACGTTGTGCTCTTGCTCCCAACCTTTCTCTGACAGCAGCTGTGAGCTTGGGGACAGACACTATTTGGGCCACCAAGGAAGGAAGACCTAGGGTGGAGGTGGGTCCCAGGCACAGGCGTCAGGCAGGGAACATCCGGGAGCACAGAGGACAGATTTACACTGCAGGGCTGGGATGGGGCCCAGGGCCAGCTCTCTGCCATGCTGCAGCGGCCCCACCTGCAGATTTATGTACAGGGATCGAGCCACACAGGAGATGGAAGAGGTGACAGGCCGAGCCACCTTGGGAGGGTGAAGTCCCAGCAATGGCCAGGGGCAGGAAGCACCACCTCAGGAGGAGGTGGCAAGCGGGGGGCTGCCAGAGCCCAAACCTGAGCGGTAGAGACTCCCCGGTTCTCCTTCCTCTTGCCTTCTGCTCTGTCAGTGCCTCCTGTTGGCAGGGGTCAAGGACCAAAAGACCCGGGGCTGTGCAGCCGGCAGAGTCCACCACATAGAGCAGGACAGGAGGGGGCAGAGGACGAGGAACAGCAAGTTGTCACTGACTTTTGAGTGTTGATTTTGAAAAGTGGTGGGGAAGCTGGGCATGGTGGCGCACACCTGTAATCCCAGCACGTGGGAGGCTGAGGCAGGAGGATCACCATGAGCTCAAGGCCAGCCTGGACTACACAGCAAGTCTCTGTCTCAAAAAATGAAAAAAAAAAAACCAAACCCAAACAAAAACTTCACTAAAGTTTCAGTGCTGCACCCTGGATTGGATGTTGGAATGGAAAAATGATGTCAGTGGGACAACCGGAGAAATCACAGTGTGCCCATCCCTAAACAGCACTGTAGCCGTCTTGATTTCCCTTTGCTAACAACAGACCCTGTTTTTACGAGATGTGAACATTAGGGGGTGCTGAGTGGAGGCCATACAGAACTCATCGGGCTGTGCTGGCAGTTTTTCTGTAACTCTACGATTATTATGAAATAATAAGCTTATTAAAAAGACCACTTCATAGGGCTGGGGATTTAGCTCAGTGGTTCCGCTGCCTGCCTCAAAAGCAGAAGGTCCTGAGTTTGATCCCTGGTACCAAAATAAATAAATAAATAAAATAAAATTTTTAAAAAGACCACTTCAGAAATCCACAGTGACAGTCAGAAATCACGAGTTTATGTGGGCTCCGAAGCACATGCCGAGAGCGGAAGCTTTGCGGGGCCCCCACCTGGGTGCCAGTCCTCGCTGGTGACTCTGGCCGCTTATTTAGCCCCCACATCCCGGGTTCCCTCGGCTATAAAACAGGAATCTGCAAGACCGCTGGGAAGTTCCTAGCACAAGTGCTAGATGCTGAGTGTTCAGTAAATACTGACCACTGGTCCAGGGAAACAGCAACTTCAAGTTGGGGACTGGTTTACGATGTGCCCATGGATTGCCAAAAGCTTGGGATCGGGGTCCCCTGATGCCACCCCACCCTGGCCTGCCCCTCTCCGTCCCTGCCCCTATGTGAGGCACCGCCATCAATGTCTCTAGATGAAATTCTTTACACCTGTCTTTCTCAGGTAGGCCCCAGGGAAAGCTGGGCTTTATCCACTTTAATCACCACTATTTACACAGGGCTGAAAAACCAGCCATCATCGAGAGACATGTGCTGCCACCATGGTGGGGGCTAACCTGCTTGTGTCAACCTGACCAGCTTAGGAACTACCTAGGGTGCTGGGGGGCCACATTTCTGGGTCATGGAGGTGTGGCCTTGGAGCATTCTTCTGCCACAATGTTCCTGCCTCAGAGCTAGCTCTCCATGGACTGAATTCCCTGAAACTGTGAGCCAAACTAACTCCTCCTTTCAGCTGCAGGTATTGGGTATTGCATCTCAGCAACAGGAAACCTGAGTAGAACAGTTACTGATGCCATTTTTAGTTTCATTGTGGATGTGAGAAATGATGTGTTTTTTTGAGACAGTCTCGCCATGTGGTTCAGGCTGGTCTTGAACTCACTATGTAGCCCAGGTTGGCCTCAAGCTCAGCAATCATCCTGCTTCAGTCTCCCGAGTGCTGGGATTACAGGTGTGGGTCACCACTCCTGGCTTGAGAAAGGTTTTAAAGAGAGAGCCACTAGGGTTCAATGAATTACAAAGAGTTCTGAGTTGGGTGACGGAGAGAAGGGTGACGCCCTTGAGAATCCCAGCCAATGGGGAGAGGAAGTTTGGATGGAGGATGACAAGTTCCATTTCAAACTCCTTGCATTCTGGTTGCCATGCCTGGAGTGTGCAGTGGGCAATGACATCTTGGCTTTCTGTGACCCATTTCCTTTGTGGGATGTGACAGCACCTGAGTTTTCCTTTGAGGAACACTTGCTTTCTCTTGACTTCCAAAGCCCATGTGCTGAGCATTTAGTTGCCAGCCTGGGATGCTACTGGGAGGGGAGATCTTTAGGAGGTGGAGCCTAGTGGAAAGGAGTGTAGGTTTTGGGGGCTAAGTCTGTGAAGGGGATATTGGGACCCTGACCCTCATTCCTGGCCACCACAAAGTGAGTGATTTCCTCTATGAGCTTCCGCCATGATGCTTCTGCTTCACCACACGGCCAAAGCCATGGAGCCAGCTGACCATGGACTGAGACCCTGAAACTGTGAGCCAACAAAAATCTTTCCCCCTTCTAAACTGTTTGCCTCAGGTATTCTGTTACAGTGATGGAAAGCTGACACAGCAGTCTCGATGACACTGTCAGTTGAAGAGCTCTGCTCACTTTCTCTTGAAGAGGGGACCCATGCATGGGAATGCTTCAGGGCATTCCTGAAGATCCTGCTACCCAGATGCCCAGAACTTTTTGGCTCCTGTCCATCCTGAAGATGGTTCTTTGGTGTTCTCTTCATCCTTTTGCTTAGCCAGGCTCAGCTTCTGTTGCTTACAATCAGAGACCTGAGCTGATGAAATATCATGGGTCATGGTATCCTGTGAGCAGAGAGGCTAGAGTGGAAATGTGAATGCAAGAGAAAAGGAGGAGATATTTGAAGCCACAAAAGATTATCTTCAAGCTGGATGTGGTAGCACCATCTGTAATCTTATCCTCTAAGAGGCTGAGGCAGGTGGATCATAAATTCAAGGCCAGCCTGGCCTACATAGCTAGACCCTGTCTTTAGGAAAACCCAAATAAACCAAAACAAAAAGATTATCTTCAGTTCACCAAAACAAAGAGTAAATGTCGAGGAGGGAATTAAAAAAAAAAAAAAAAAAAGATTTAGAGTAGCCAGGCATGGTGGCCCATGGGATAAACCCAGCACTCCAGGACGTTAAAAAAAAAAAAAAAAAAAGATTTAGAGTAGCCAGGCATGGTGGCCCATGGGATAAACCCAGCACTCCAGGACGTTGAGGTAGGAGGATCACAAGTTTGAGCTCAGCCTGAGCAACTGAGCAACTTAGTGAGACCCTGTCTCAAAATAAAGAAATGGCTGAGGACCTAACTCAGTGCAAAGGCCCTGGGCTCAAATCCTAGTACTGCAAAAAACTGAAAAGAAACAAGCAAACAAACAAAAACTAAAGTGACCTAGAACCAGCAAGAAAGGGAGCTGCATCCGATGCTATGGTTGCTTCACGAATGAGGCTAAAATGAGGATAAAATGGGTCCCGAATCGGGAACCCTTTCGGGAACTGAAGGTGGAGGTCAAGAAGGGTGTCGTCTTGGGTTGCTCACTTGGCTTCTGCTCAGCTGAGGTCGTGAGTCCCTTTGTGGCTTTTCCTGAAGATGAAGTTCTCCAGGCAGCCTCGGAGCTTGGGCAGCCCCTCTGAGGAAGAAGGATCCTCGTGCAAGGCCCCGGGACGAAGGTGAACCAAGTATTTAATGAGCGCGCTTCCCCACCGTCCCCGAAGCTCTCGGGCATAAATCAAAAGCGCGATTCCTGCAGAAAGCGGCCACAAAGGCAGCGTTTTCCGAAATGTTTCCAATTTGCTTTCAGTCAAATTACCTCTTTTGCTTTAAAGGGCAAACTTGTTTTCTTTGATTATGATGCCGCCCGTCAACTCCTGACAGCTCATTTGCGTGAACAAGAAAAAGCCTGCGGAACCGGGCTTGGGGGGGATGTTTCTGACTCCGCTGACAAAAATCACCAGAGTCTTTTCCTTGAGTTCTAACACAATCACTTCACGTCCCTTTTAATGGCACCAACCTTAATATTGAAATCGTTGCCAACTTCAGCCTCCCCCTTTAAAATTCCTGCCCTGACAGTGAAGCGAGATTGTTAATGGATGGGGAACTTTAATTGGATCTTCCCTTTATTTGTCATTAATTCTGCTGATGAACTTTATAAATGGAAATATATCTTTATCATGCAAATTATACCTCATTGTCATCGTCATTTAAATAGGCCTGTTGGATATTTTATTACTTTTGCTCTCAGAACATTTTACAAAAAAAAAAAGAAAAAGATTTGAGCTCAGTAATTTTTTTTCCTCAGAGAGAAAAAAGGGAAGAAACCCCAACACCTGTGACACTCTACATGGGGAAGCAGGAGGTATTTAAAGACAAAAACAGTTGGGTGCAGTCAGATGTGGGTATATGCTTATGATCCCCGCACTAGGGAGGCTGAGGCAGGAGGACAGTGATTTCAAGGTCAGTATGAGTTACATGGCAAGTTCAAGGCCAGCCTGGACTACATAGTAAGATGCTCTCTTAAAACAAAAATATAAACAACAAAAAACTAAATAACAGGTACAGTGGCACATGCCCATAATCTCAGCTACTTGGGAGGCTGAGGCAGAAGGATTGCAAGATCAAGGCCAGCCTGAGCAACTTAGTGAGATTGTCTCAAAGAAACAAAAAGGGCTGGGGTGTAGCACAGTGCTACAGTACTTGCCTAGCATGTGTGAAATCCTGGGTTTAATTCCAAGTACTGCAAGAAAACAAAAACAAACAAACATCCCAGAGTGTGGGGTGTGGGTCTCATTTTAAGGGCTTC